ATCTTCTTTTTTCTTTTCAGGTTTTTTTTCCCTCTTTCTCCCTGAAGCCCCCAGTACATAGTTGTATATTTTTTTAGTTGTGGGTCCTTCTAGTTGTGGCATGTGGGATGCCGCCTCAGCGTGGCTTGATGAGCAGTGCCATGTCCATGCCCAGGATCTGAACCAGCGAAACCCTTGGTGCCCCCAAAGCAGAGCATGCGAACTTAACCACTCAGCCACGGGGCCGGCCCCTCTCTCTTTTTTCCTTAGTGAGCCTGGCTAAGAGTTTGTCAATTTTGTTTCTTTTCTCAAAGAAGCAGCTCTTGTTTCATTGATCCTTTCTACTGTCTTTTTTGTTTCGATTTCATTTATTTCTGCTCTTTTGTTATTTCCCTCCTTCCACTGACTTTGGGCTTTATTCTTCTTTTTCTAATTCTGTTAGGTGTAGTTTGAGATTGATTGAGGTGAGCCTGTATTGCAATGAATTTCCCTCTTAGGACTGCTTTTGCTGTATCCCAAGTGAGTTGGTATGGTGTGTTTTCATTTTCATTTGTCTCCAGATAATATGTGATTTCTTCTTTGATTTCTTCAGTGATCCATTGGTTGTTCAGTGGCATGTTATTTGTTTTGTTTTGTTTTTTTTGAGGAAGATTAGCCCTGAGCTAACTACTGCCAGTCCTCCTCTTTTTGCTGCAGAAGCCTGGCCCTGAGCTAACATCCGTGCCCATCTTCCTGTACTTTTTTTATGTGTGGGATGCTTACTACAGCATGGTGTGCTAAATGATGCCATGTCCACACCCGCGATCCGAACCAGTGAACCCTAGGCCGCCGAGAAGCAGAATGTGCGAACCTAACTGCTGCGCCACCAGGCTGGCCCCAGTAGTATGTTGTTTAATCCCCACATCTTTGCCCCTTTCCCAGCTTTATTCTTATAATTGATTTCTAGTTTCATAGCATTATGGTCGGAAAAGATGCTTGATATTATTTCAGTCCTCTTAAATTTATTGAGGCTTGCTTTGTTTCCCACTATATGGTCTATCCTTGAGAATGTTCCATGCACACTTGAGAAGAACATGTAACCTGCTGTTTTTGGATGGAGTGATCTATTAAGTCCATCTGGTGTAGTTTTTCATTTAATTCTACAATTTCCTTGTTGACTTTCTGTCCGGATGATCTGTCCGTTGGTGTTAGTGGAGTGTTGAGGTCCCCTACTGCTGTTGTATTGTTGTTGATGCCTCCTTTTAGTTTTGTTGATAGTTGGTCTACATACTTAGGTGCTCCTGTGTTGGGTGCATATATATTTATAATTGTTATGTCCTCTTGGTTGAGTGTCCCTTTTATCATTATATACTGCCCCTGTTTGTCTCTCTTTACCTGTTTTGCCTTGAAGTCTACTTTGTCTGATAGAAGTATGGCCACAGCTGCTTTCTTATGTTCACTATTAGCTTGGATTATCGTCTTCCATCCCTTCACTCTTAGTCTGTGTTTGTCTTTGGGGCTAAGGTCTGTTTCCTGGCGGCAGCATATTGTTGGGTCTTGTGTTTTTTTGTTGTTTTTTTTTTAATATAGATTTTTATTTTTTTTTCCTTTTTCTCCCCAAAGCCCCCTGGTACATAGTTGTATAATCTTGGTTGTGGGTCCTTCTAGTTGTGGCATGTGGGATGCTGCCTCAGCGTGGCCTGATGAGCGCAGTACCATGTCCGTACCCAGGATTCGAACCCATGAAACTCTGGGCTGCCTGCAGCAGAGCGCGCAAACTTAACCACTCGGCCACTGGGCCTGCCCCTGGGTCTTGTTTTTTAATCCATCCACCCACTCTGTGTCTTTTGATTCGAGAATTCAATCCATTTAAATTTAGAGTGAATATTGAAATGTGGGGGCCTAATGCTCACATTTTTTTGCTTGTTTTCCATTTCTTCTGTCCTCCATATTACCAGTCCTAGTGTTCATGGACTCCAGATTTTTCTTCATCTCCTTCATTGTGTTTTTCATCTCCAACATTCCTGATTGGTTCTTTTTTATAGTATCAAGATCTTTTGTGACTTAGTTCCTCAACTCATTGAGTTATCTATCTGTATTCTCTCTTAATTCATTGAGTTTTTAAATGATAGCTATTTTGAATTCTTTGTCATTTAGCTTATAGATTTCTGTGTCTTCGGGATTGTTTTCTGGGTACTTGTCATTTTCCTTCTGTTCTGGAGATTTTGTGTGTATTTTCATACTACTTGATGGCGTGGATTTGTGTGTCTGCATAGTGATAGAGTTTGGTTACTGCTTCCACTTGCTACCACTGTGGGGAAGGGGCAGGAGCTATGTAATCTGTGCCTACCAGGATCCCTGTCAGCTGTTCCTGACTGAGCCTGGGCCACTCCTTGGGATCGCAGTGGCCCTGTGGGGTCTCCCCTCAACTGTGGGAACAATCAGCTGGGGGCTTTGGGTTGCTGCTGCCTGCTCCCACAGACCCGCCTAGACATTCTCCCTCCTTAGGGACTGTAGTGGTGTTACAGGCTTTTGCCACAGCCGAGAGTTAGTTCACCCAGACTCACAGCTCTGCCATCATCTGGTCCTGCTGGATTTCACTTGCCCCCTCTGGGCTGGAGCAGAGCAATGGGTGTTTAATGCAGTGGGCGGGTAGCTCGCCCATCTGTGCCGCTTCTGCTCCTACGTTGCCCAGCCTTTGCGCTTGGTGGGTGGGGCCTCCCTTCCGAGGTTGAGTCCAGGTCACTCCCTGGGGCTGCAGTGGGACTGGATTTTCCCACCGGTCCACAGAGCAATCACAGGGAGCTTAGCGCTCTAGTCACCTGTTTCCATAGTTGAGCTAATGCACACGCCCACCCTCAGGGCTGCGGCAGTGCTGTGAGTGCATTAGCCAGGAGAAAGTCACTTCTAGGTACTGGGCTGTCTGGGGGCCAGAGAGTTCTCACCTATCTCCACCTCCTCCCTGGTGGTAATCCATCCACTTTCTGATGTGTAGTAGCATGGGTCTCTCATGTGTCCTGAGGTGCTGTGTGAGTATCCTCCAGTGATCAATGAATGTCCATTTAGTTGTAGTTCAGAGGGGGAGAGACAAAGAAAACCACTCGCTCCACCATGTTGCTGACGTCGCTCTGCATTTCTTTTTGATAAATTCTCTTTTCATACATTTTGCTCATTTTTTCTGTCAGATTATTAGTCTTGTTCTCAGTTTTTAGTAGTTTTTAATGCATGAGAGACTTTAGTCCTTTAATTCACTAATTTTATTGTTTTTGTGTATTTTTATTTTTTTTTTACTATTCTTTTTTGTTTTTATGCTGAGGAAGATTTGCCCTGAACTAACATCTGCCCCAGTCTTCCTATATTTTGGATGTGGGCTGCTGCCACAGCATGGCTGATGAGTGGTGTAGGTCTGTGCCTGGGATCCAAACCTATCAACCCAGGCTCCCAAAGCAGAGTGCGCCACACTTAACCACTACTCCATGAGGCTGGCCCCTATTTATTATTTTTAAATTATCATGCTGTTTGAGGGATGAGGGTCCTTGCTAAGGAACATGAATGTCTAGCCTTGTTTTGTTTTAGTAATGGAAATTGACATTCTACTGGCCCATACTTTTAGGATACTCCTAATGTAGTCTTTGTTGGCTTGTTGTATTTCTAATGAAAATTTTCAAATACATAAAAGCAAATGGAAGGCAGTATAACAAATGCCCCTGTACCTACTGTGAAGAATTGATAAACGTTAACCTTGTTCAAAATTTGTTTCCACTTTTTAAGTTGTGATAAAATATCCATAATATAAAGTTGACCATTTTAACAATTTTTAAGTGTGCTGTTCAGTGGTGTTAAGTACATTCACATTAATGTGCAGCTATCACCATAGTCCATCTCCAGAAATTTTTCATCTTCCCAATCTGAGACTCCATACCCATTAAACAGTGACTCCCCGTTCCCCTCTCCCCTCCCAATCCTTGGAAACCACCATTCTTCTTTTTGTCTCTATGAATTTGACTACTTTAACCACCTCATATGAGTGGAATCATACAATATTTAACCTTTTATGACTGGCTTATTTGACTTAGCGTAGTATCCTGAAGGTTCATCTATGTTGTAGCATGTGTCAGAATTTCCTTCCTTTTTTAAGGTTGAATAATATTCCACTGTATATACCCCAGTTTGTTTATCCTTTCATCTGTTAAATGGACACTTGGGTTACTTCTACCTTTTGGCTATTTTGAATATTGCTTCCATGAACTTTCATGTACAAATATCTCTTTGAGCTCCTGCTCAAAGAAAGAGAATGGCAAGAAGCTCAGTGTCACTTGAGTGCAGTGAGCAAACAAGAGGCTGGTTGGGGATGAAGTAGCAGGGCAGGTAGCCAGAGGTCAGATCATGTAGGGCCTTTACAGTCTCCCAAAGATTTTAGATTTTATTATAAGTGTTATTAAAAGGTGAAAGATATTGTAGTTAGGCCTTGGACTAGAGAGAGCAATAGAAATGGTGGGAAGTATTAGATTTAGGATATGTTTTAAAGGTAGTACCTATAAAATCTTCTGATGGATTGGATGTAAGATGTGAAAGAAAAGGAGGGAAGCAAAGATAACTCCGCATTTTTTTGGTTGAGCCAAAATATCGACTAGTGGTATCTTTTACTCAGTTGGAGAATACTAAGGAAGAATCAGGTTGGAAATTTAAGTTTTAAATGCCTACTAAGTGTGTCAAGTATTTGGCATTAGATACTAAATTATGGTCCAAAGTGATTGTAATAGTTACACTCTCGCCAGCTCTATATGGTCTATTTGGGTGAATCCGAGATAGATCCCAGCAGGAGATGGCATGTCACGCTTCTGTGCTGTTGAGATTCATTGACAGTCAATGCACTAAGGGAGTCTACCATTTAAAAAGAATGCAGTTGTTTTATGTGTAAAATCAATTAACTTTTGTGAAGTAAGTTGTAAAGTTAGATTTACTCAGTTTATGTTTTTGTACCTTGAGTTTTCTTTAATTGGGGATCACCTGTTTTTGTTGTGTTTTGTTTTTAATTCCAGATGCTGGATCTGGTATGGAAGAAGTGGAATTAAGCTGGGAAGATTATCTAGAAGAGACAGGGTCCACAGCAGTTCCCTATGGGTCTTTTAAACACGTAAGCAGTAGCTATATTTGCTTTACTGACTATATCTCTTTCCTTTGACTCACTGCACTATCATTAAAGAGTTAAGAGTTATTTTAAGTTGGATGACTTGAAAGAATTTGAGTGCTTTTTCTTTTTTAAAAAATTTTTTTTTCTTTAAAGCTTGGCACCTGAGCTAACAATTGTTGCCAGTCTTCTTTTTTTTTTGTTCTTCTCCCCAAAGCCCCCCAGTACATAGTTGTAGATTCTAGTTGTGAGTGCCTCTGGCTGTACTATGTGGACACCACCACACTGTGGCCTGATGAGTGGTGCCATGTCTGTGCCCAAGATCCAAACTGGCGAAACCCTGGGCCGCTGAAGCAGAGTGCGCAAACTTAACCTCTTGGCCACGGGGCCGGCCCTTGAGTGCTTTTTTCTTTTTCCCTCCTCCTGCCACCCTCATTAAGAAAACTTGACGGAGTCTAAAAATCTTGTTTGGTTTTGTGTATTTTGTGCCACTCAATGAGGACTTGTCTTTTTGACTGGTCACGAATATTCCTCTATTTATGTCAAAAAACCTTCTCATAAATTGAAGAAAATGGTTTATTTTCTTGTACTTTACTTTATAGAATTTTATAACTGTTGATTTGCTTCCTTGAAAATAATTTCAGTAGCATTTGCTTTCTCTCACATTGAGCAGAAACATGTGTAATGTCATTACAGTGGGTCATATTAGTGGCCTGTGCAGCATAATTTTATGCCCTAACAACCCAGTTTGCCTTATAAGTGGAGAACATATTTGCCCTATGTAATACCTTTAGAGTGTAAGAAAGTACTCCAAATTTTATTAATTTATATTTAGACCTATATTTAGTTTTTTAACCTGTTCACCCCAAACTCCCTTTTAAAGCACAAGAAATTATTGATTCCAAAACTGCTTATTTAATGTTGGTCTTAGTTTCCTCAGGCTGCCATAACAAAGTACCATAGACTAGATGGCTTAAACAACAGAATTTTCTTTTCTCACAGTTCTAGAGACTGGAAGTCTGAGTTTAGGGTGCCAGCATGGTCGGTTTCTGGTGAGGGCTGTCTTCTGGGTTTGTACATGGCTGCCTTCTTGCTGTGTCCTCACATGGCAGAGAGTGAGAGAGCAGGCTCTTTGCTGTTTCTTTTTATAAGAACACTAATCCTGTTGGATCAGGGCTCCACCATTATGACTTCATTTGACCTTTACCACCTCCATAAAGGCCTTATCTCCAAATACAGTCACGTTGGGTGTTAAGGTTTCAACATACGAATTTTGGAGGAACACAATTCAGTCCATAGCAATGTTTGGCAGGGCATAGTTCCTTCATTCTAGGATTTGTGAAGACAGTAACACTCACTCTATGATTTTGTCTATTGTTTTGTCAAGTTGATCCATATTCTTTTAGGTGTCATTATAAGCTAAAGAGTCCTGCTATTTTAATTTTTCCTCATGTAAAAACTCAGTGATGGGGCTGGCCAGTGGCACAGCTGTTAAGTTTGCATGTTCTACTTTGACGGCCTGGGGTTTGCTGGTTTGGATCCCAGATGTGGACATGGCACTGCTTGGCAAGCCATGCTGTGGTAGGCGTCCCACATATAAAGTAGAGGAAAATGGGCACAGATGTTAGCTCAGGGCCAGTCTTCCTCAGCAAAAAGAGGAGGATTGGCAGCAGATGTTAGTCGGGACTAATCTTCCTCAAAAAAACAAAAAGCGAAAAACTCAGTGATAATAGTTGTCCTTTTAAAGTATTTTTTAGTTCATTTCTATCTCACTTAAGTGTTGAGAATTGTATATTTTAGGTAAGGATTTCATTTCATATTGCATTAGACCTGATTAGATTAGACCTGAAATAATAAGTATTCTAGAAGAGAATATAGGCAGTACACTCTTTGACATCAGTATCAGAAGGATCTTTTTGGACACCATAACTCCTCAGACAAGGGAAACCATAGAAAGAATAAACAAATGGGACTTCATCAAACTAAAGAGCTTCTTCAAGGCAAGGGAAAACAGGATTGAAACAAAAAAACAACCCACTAGTTGGGAAAAAATATTTACGAGTTATTTATCCAACAAAGGGTTAATCTCCATAATATATAAAGAACTCACACAGCTCAACAACAAAAAATCAAACAACTCAATCAAAAAATGGGTAGGGGACATGAACAGACATTTCTCCGAAGAAGATATACGGATGGCCAACAGACACATGAAAAGATGCTCATCATCACTAATCATCAGGGAAATGCAAATCAGAACTACACTAAGATATCACCTTATACCTGCCAGAATGACAAAAATAACCAAAACAAAAAGTGACAAATGTTGGAGAGATTGTGCAGAAAAAGGAACCCTCATATACTGTTGGTGGGAATGCAAACTGATGCAGCCACTATGGAAAACAGTATGGAAATTTCTCGAAAAATTAAAAATAGAAATACCATATGACCCAGCCATCCTGCTGCTGGGTATCTATCCAAAGAACTTGAAATCGGCAATTCCAAAAGTCCCATGCACCCCTGTGTTCATTGCAGCATTATTTACAATAGCCAAGATGTGGAAGCAACCTAAGTGCCCATCAACTAATGATTGGATAAAGAAGATATGGTGTGTATATATACATATATATACAATGCAATACTACTCAGTCATAAAAAAGGATAAAATCGTCTCATTCACAACAACATGGATGGACCTTGAGGGTATTATGTTAAGTGAAATAAGCCAGTTAGAGAAAGACGAACTCTGTATGACTCCACTCATAGGTGGAAGTTAAACATATAGACAAAGAGAACAGATTGGTGGTTACTAGGGGAAAGGGGAGGTGGGGGAAGGGCACAAAGGGTGAAGTAGTGCACCTACAACATGACTGACAATAATGTACAACTGAAATTTCACAAGGTTGTAAACTATCATAATCTTAATAAAAAGTTAAAAAAATATAGAAAAATCCCTGACTTTTTAAAGGAAAAATATTGATGAATCAGACTACATTAAAATGGAGAACTTCTGTTCATCAAATGACACCATCAAGAAAGTGAGAAGATATTTGTAATACAAGTAATTGACAAATCACTGAAATATAGACTCAATAAAAAATTGGAAGAAACTTAGGCATTTCCCAAAAGAAGAAATCTAAATGGGTGGTAAATATAAAGCTTCTCAACTTTATTAAAAATCAGAAAATGCAAATTAAAATCACAAGGAGATACACAATACACCTTTCAAAATGGTTAAAATGAAAAAGACTGAAAATACAAATGTGTTGGTTAGAATGTTGGAACAGAAGGATTTCTCATACAGTACTGGGAGAGTAAATTGGTTCAACCACTTGAGAAAACAGTTTGGCTGTATCTTTTATAGAAATCCATGTAAGTATGCACCAAGAGACATACAAAACTATTTGTATAATCATGGCAGTATTATGTGCAGTATTATGTGTAGTCTTCCAAAACTGCAAACTACCCAAAATGCCTACTACTCTGAGCATAAAATAGATAAGTATGATGCAATACTTTACAGCAGCGAAAAGAAATAAACTACTGTTTCATGCAACAGCATGAATGAATCTCATTAACAATGTTGGACAAGAGAAGCCCCACACAGAAAAACATTTATACTGTATAATTCCACCAATATAGTGTTAAAACACAGGCAATATTAAACTGTAATGTTATAATTCAGAATAGTGACTTTCAAGAGTACAACAGGGTAGTGATTATTAGAAGGGGGAGGAATTTTTTACACAGAATGTGTGACTCTCCCTCTCTGGCTCTGTCCTTTCTGGGATTCCCCTCACTTTCCAGTGGTTGTGATTGCCACATTGCATTTAGTTGTCATGTCTCCATAGTCTCCTTCACTGTATGACAGTTCCTCATTCTTTCTTTGTCTTTCATGGCCTTGACGCTTTTGAAGCACATGTTACATATCACTTATTTTGTAGAACATTCCTCAATTTGAGTTTGATTTTTCTCATGATTAGCTTGAGTATATGCAGATTGGCAAGAATGTCATAGAAATGATGTTGTGCTTTTCTTATATGATATCAAGGGTATATGATATTGATGTTTTAGGACTGGCAATGTTAACTTTGATTAGTTAGTTAAGGTGGTGTCTGCCAGGTTTCTTCAATCAAATGTTGCTGTTTTTCCTTTTGCAATTAATAAGAATCTTGAGGGTAGAACCTTTGATATTAGGCAAATATAGTCATTGTAGTCATTTTAGCATCAACCCATGATTCTTTCCTGAAGTGTTTATTTCTGTGGTGTTTGTCTAATGGTGATTTTCTACTTTCATCATTTTTCTCTGTATTTATTAATTGATTTTCTACTCTAAGGAAGGTATGTCTCCTCTTCTCTGTTAATTATTTATAACAGTATGGATTCATGGACATTTAATTAAATCTGTGGGTTATAATCTATTACTCTCGTTATTCATTTTATTGCTCAAATTGTTTCAAATGTGACCATTGGGAGATCCTTCTAGTTGGATCCTTTGTCCTTTCAACATGCCCCCATCATTTTTGAAGCATTTCCTTACTTTCTGGCATCACAAGATATTCATTGCTCTTACTGTATTTTCCCTACCTGAGAATTGGGATCAATCGTTTCTTTATGGATCTCTTGTTCTTTTTTATTGTAGGATGGTATTTAGAAATCAAGATTTAGATGCTGAATTTTCTTATTACTACCGAGTATCCTTGCTTCTAGTCCTTGTCAATTCACAGAGTTAGGAAATATATGTATATTACCACATACATGCGTACATATCTCTACTTTGTTCTGTATCTCTCCGTCTGTCTGTCTGTAATTGTGACCTCATTCTGATACCTCCAATTCCAGTTGAACACCACAAGGTTCATTCTTGTGTTTCCCTTTTCTTATTTTTACTTTTCTCCCACAGTGAGAAACCTGGCTGTCATTATCCACAATATATTTATTTAATCTTAGAGTACACGTACAGTAGTTCCAGAATTGCTAACCTATACCTTTGTGACCATATAATTTATCATCTAAATTAGGATACTTTTGAGAGAGAAAAGAAGCATTATTAATTACTACTCAAGGGTAACAGGTATTAAATGTAGACGGTTTTAGGGAGACTGGGAGATATAGCTCCCTACACATGGAACATATTATACTAATTTATTATCATTATAACTTATTTTTGTCCTTTCCCTTTTCTAGCTTCATAAATTTTCTTTTGAATGATGTAGAAATTACTCTTGAAAACTTAATGTGTTGAAGGCTGTTAAAATGGTGAACATTTAGTGATTTATGTGCATAGTGGAAAACATTTTTTGTAGACTGCTTTGGTGAAAATATTGAGTTATATTAAAATTCCTTCAGAGTCAGATGGAACAGAGCAGCATTGCTATTCCCTGTTTTGTTTGGATCACTCCTGTGAGTTAGAATTGGAATTTCTCAGTTTTCCCTTGGGAAGATTTTATTGCATTTGGTGCTTCAGAATTGTAAGCCTTAACAAAGAACGTTGGCCAAAAAAATACTCATTTGAGATACTTGTCTGGTGGTTAATAACATTTTCTTGTTCAGGTGGACACTCGTTTGCAAAATGGATTTGCTCCTGGGATGAAACTGGAGGTGGTTGTGAAAACAGATCCTGAAACCTACTGGGTTGCCACAATCATTACCACCTGTGAGCAGTTGCTCCTTCTCCGCTACGACGGCTATGGGGAGGACCGGAGAGCAGACTTCTGGTGTGACATTAGGAAAGCTGGCCTCTACCCCATTGGGTGGTGTGAGCAGAATAAGAAGACCCTTGAAGCCCCAGAAGGTAATAAAATACTTCTTATCCAGACATGATATGATATTGCTAGGAAAATTTGGGCTGTCCACAATCTTAAAGTTTTCAGTCTCCCAAGCACATGTGTTTTCCTAACTTCTGGGTTAGCGTTTTGAATGAAAATATTTATAAAGAACAAATTATAAATTATTTTCTGTCCTCCATAAGCCTCAGGTTTTTATGACACTCATAGGGAACATCAGTTGCTTATCCTGTATGATTGTGAGGCTCTCTGAGTTTGGGACTTGTAGGTTTGCTTGTCTTTAAGTACATTGGGCCAGATTGATTCTCTTTCTGATTTTGTTGTCCTCTCTCCTCTCACCCAGAAGTGATCTGGGGACTATGAACTCTTTAAATGAACCAAATGAAAGAGCCCTTCTGGGAGTAGAATTCTAGTTAAGCAAGACAGAGACAGTAGGACAAAAGAAAGAGAAGGGTTGCATAAAGGTGGAGAAAGGGACGAGAGACTGTAGATTTAAGAAAATACCAGACATTATATGTTTTTCTTTCAACTTCTTATTTTGATATAATTTCAGATTTAGAGAAAAGTTGCAAAAATAGTATAGAAGATTCTTGGAGACTTTTTGCCAAGTGTCCCCAGATGTTGACATTTTACTACATTTATTTTATCTTCCTCCCTCCCTCCTTCTCCTTCTGTCTTTCTCCTTTTCTCTCTCTCTCACACACACATGCTTTTTTAATGAAGCATTTGAGAGTCAGTTGTAGACATGAAGCCCTTTTACTCATAAATACATAAATGTACTTCTGAAAACAAGGACATTCATGAGCACAGTAATAACAAAGTCAGGAAATTAACTTTGATGTAGTACTGTTATTTAATCTATAGACTTTATTCAGTTTTTACTAGTAATGTTTTTATAGTAAAAGAAAATCCCTGATCATGTGTTGCATTTACTTTTCATGTCTCATAAGATTTCTTTAATCTGGAACAGTTCCTCAGGCTTTCTTGTCTTTCATGACTTTGACAGTTTTGAAAAGTACAGGCCAATTTTCCCAATAGTATTCATTATATCCCAGACCGAATAATGTTCTTTATGACCCATTTCTTTTCCTGGTCCAGGATTCAGTCCAGGATCACACATTGCATTTGGTTGTCATGTCTTTTTAGTTTCCTTAACCTTTCTTTGTCTTTCTTGGTCTTGACGTTTTTGAAGAGTACAAGCCAGTTATTCTTTAGTGTCCAACACTTTGAGTTTGTCTGATGTTTCCTTAGGTTCGGGTAGGAAAAGTGCAGAAGTGACGCTGTGTCCTGTTGCATCATATCAGGAGATACATGCTGTTGGTTTGTCCTCTAACTGGTGATATTAACTTTCATCACTTGATTAAGTTGGTATATGCCAAGTTTTTCCACCATAAAATTACTTTTACCATTTTTTTTTTTTGAGGAAGGTTAGCCCTGAGCTAACATCTGCCACCAATTTTCCTCTTTTTGCTGAGGAAGACTGGCCCTGAGCTAACATCCATGCCCATCTTCCTCTACTTTATATGTGGGACGCCTACCACAGCATGGCTTGAGAAGCAGTGCTCAGGTCCACACCTGGGATCCGAATGGGTGAACCCTGGGCTACTGAAGCAGAACATGTGAACCCAACCGCCGTGCCACTGGGCTGGCCCTACTTTTACCATTTTTGATTAATAAGTATCTTGTGGGAAGATACTTTGAGGTTATGTAAATATCACATTACTCTTCAAACTGTCACCCACTATTTTTAGCATGCATTGGTAATTTTTATCTGAAACAATCATTACTCTAATGATTACTCAATGGTATTTTCTAATTCCTTCTACATTTCATAATTGACTTTTCACTACAGAAAGAACATTCCCTTTTCCCCCATTTGCACATATACATTTATGTATGTCTGTGTGTATTTATGTATGCATGTCAGTGTAGACTCATGATTCTTATTTTTATTCAATGGGTTATAATACTTCACTATCATTACTGATTTTGATGCTCAAATTGTCCGGGATTTGGCCATTGGGCACCCCTTCAAGCTGGCTAATGTGTCCTTTGTTATGTTCTCATCATTCTTTGAGTGTTTTCTTGTTTTTTGGCTCAAGAAATTTTTCCTTGCCTCAGCCCTGAAATCAGCCACTTTTCCAGGAAGTCCTGGGGGTTTTTTTTGGTGAAGAATGGTTTTTAGAGATGAAGTTATGGGTATTAGGGTCCTGAGGTGTCTGTGGGCTTATAGCTGGCTATTAACATTTTGTGAAAAAAAGTCTTAAGAGAAAGCTCTGGAGACATGATGCTACCTGGCACCATCTCATCTTAAGAGTATAGGAAAATTCATCTCATTTAAACATGAACAACAGAAAATAATTCCAGTTGAATCTCATACAAGATTATTATAACAAAAAAAGAGGAAGAAAGGTAGAATAAAATCCTTCTAGGGCAACATAACTACAAACGAGATGAACACTGTCAGACAAAAATATTTCTTTGATGTACTTAGGAGTTCTGTTAGCTTCATTTACATGTAATTCCAGCTCCTTCCCCAGGTTTGGGAAGTTCTTAGCTATTATTTCTTTGAACAAACTCTCTCTGCTCCTTTCTGCCTCTCTTCTCCCTGTGGAATACCTATAATCCTTATGTTGCAGTTTTTAATTGTCAGATATTTCTTGGAGAATTTCTTCGTTTCTTTTTAGTCTTAGTTCTCTCTTCTCCTCCATATGAAGCATTTCTGTATATCTGTCCTCTGAATTACTAATTCTGTCCTCCATAATATCAGCTCTGTTTTTTTAAGGATTCCAGATTTTTCTTTATCTCATTCATTGTATTCTTCATCTCCAGCATTTCTGATTTTTTTTAATAGTTTCAATCTCTTTTGTGAAGAATTTCTTCTGTTCGTTAATCTTATTCCTGAGTTCATTGAACTTTCTGAGTTTTCTTGAACTCATTGAGTTTCTTTATGATAACTATTTTGAATTCTCTATCGTTTAGATTGTATATTTCTGGGGCTTCAGGATTGGTTTCTGGGTACTTAGCATTTTCCTTCTGGTCTGGAATGTTAATGTAGTTCTTTATGCTGTTTGATGGGGTGGACTTTTGACATCGCGTAGTGGTAGTATCTGGTCACAGATTCCACCTGTCACCACTGGGAGGGTCGGGGCAGGAGCTGTGCTTTCTGAGCCTTCTGTGACCCTTGGCAGCTGTGCCTGTCCATTGGAAGCTGTGCTGACAGGGCCCATCTGCATTTGCCCCCTGTCTGCTGCTGCTTTACACACTTAGTTGCAGGTGCTGTGGCGGGGATCCCCTGCTCTGGCCGACTTCCTGAGCTTATGCACCAGGCAGGAGGATGGGGAGGGACACCTTCTTTTGCATGTGCGGTTCCACATGTTCCTGCTCTGCACTCATTATCTGGCCACCTGAGCTGCTTGGCTTGGTAGGTTGCTAAGCACCCTCACGATTGCTTAGCCTCCTCCATGTGGAGCTTTCCCACAGGCTGAGAGGCAACTCTGAGAATGAAAGTATTCCCATGGAGGGCTGCCTTTTCCTCCTTCTCCTCTCAGAGTCATCCACTGGCCGCCATGCGAGGTCCCACACCCTAGCTCGTTGCCCACTGCTGCTGGGGAAGGGAGAGGAGATCCACTTATGTATGGCGATGAATGGCTGCATGAATCTGTCAGATGTCTGTTGTGTTGTGTGAGTGTCTCTGTTGGTTTATGAATGTCCCTTTCATTGTGTCTTAGGGGGCAGAGAATAAGGGAAGAGCTCACTTTGCCATGATGCTGACATCACTCCTCACAAAAACGTTTCAAAACAAGCTAAAATAAAGTAGGAACAATGATAGAAGCAATGAGAAAAAGTGTAAATAAATTTTATAAAAACTCTTAAATGAGATGATTGGAGAAAAAGAAGATTTGAAAAGAGAAAATGTAGAAGTTAAGCAAGAACTGGAAATAAAAAATACTAGAAAAGAAGATCAAGTTAAAATGAACACAGGAACGAATCAACCATGGATAATATCTGAAGAGAAATAAAAGATGAAAAAGAGGAGAAATTTTAAAATCCAAAAAGAAATGAAGAAACAAATAAAAGGACTTGGAAAAATAGTATAGATAGGTAAAAATGATTTAAGATACATAAAATAGAAATCCCTGAAGAAGATAACCAAAGCAATGACACACTAAAAGACTATAAACTATAATTCAAGAAAACTTTACTGAAATAAAATAGGACTTGAAATATGTATTGAAAGGGCTCACTATGTATATGGGAAAATCAAATAAGAACAGCTACATCAAGGTGTATTCTAATGAAGCTATTGAACTTTAAAGCAAAAAATAATCCCGTGGTTATTTAGGCAAAAAGCTAAGTTTCTTGAAAAGGAAGGAAAACAAGATTGTCATCAGGCTAATTGACAACACTGCTTTCTACCAAAAGATAATAGGATAACATATTTAAGAAATTCGGCGGAAGAAAATATGAGGCAAAGATTTTATGTCTTGCCAAACTGAACTTCAGGTGTAAAGGCCATATGCAAACTGTTATGAAGATGTAAGGATTCAGGCGATATTGTCCCCATGAGCCCTTCCTAAGAAAGCCACTTGAGAGTGAGCTTCAGAAAAACAAACAAATGGAGAAATATTAGCATAGAAAGTGTTAGTGAAACATTAAATATATTTATATGTAGCAGTAGAACTTAGAACTAAATGATGGTTTTAAGGGAGACAGTATAGTATATAATAGCTACACGTTCTCACAATATAAATACAGTGTAACTAAAAAAAAATAGAGGACAACAGTGGGGAGAGCATGTGGATAATGGTATAAGCTTACTCATTGCCTTTTTTTTTCAACCAGCTTTATTGCCTAGTAATTTAGTTAATTGCTTTTTAAGTGTTAACTGGGAGTAAAAGGCTGTTAACTGTAATGACAAGAAGAGGAGAAAAAAGAGGCTATAGCTAACTTTAGTGTTGTTTATAGAAAAAAGAAATAGGAAATGGTCCAAAAATAGAGCTAAAAGTATTATATAGAGGTATTAGTATAAAGATAACCAGTAGAACAAAAACACAAACCTTTCTAAATGCCAAAAGATAGATTTTAAAAAGAAGAAGTTTGTGTTTAAATAAAATAGATCACATAGTGAAAGACTGTGGACACAAATAATTTATATAATATTTATCAGTACGATAGAATTGAGGCCAAACATTTTGGTAATATGAATAAATATTAAGGGACTTACTCTTGTTTTTTTTTTTGGCTTACTCTTCTATTAAAAGGAAAAAACTAGTTCAAGTTGGCTCACAAAACAAAACCCACTTCTGTGCTATGTACAGGAGACATACCTAAATGAGGAGATTCTGAAAGGGTAAAGTTAGTAAAAGGATGGACAAAGATACATAGATGTATGGAAATAGAAAAGAAAGCAGGAGTCTCAGTCTTGATATCTGGCAGAGGTAGAATTCTGATCAGAAAGCATTACAAGAGACCAAGAATGGTACTTTATAATGGCAAGCTGCACTCAGTGGCAAAAAGAAATGGGGACCAACTACATCCAGCCAAGGAATGTTCTCTAGAATATCTTGTTGTATGAAAAAAGATAACTATGCAGAATGAGGGAGGAGGAGAACATAATGAATGTGTGTATGGGTATGTGAATTCTGTTTTTTTTTTTTTAAAGAATAAATTCATTTAAAAAAGTTACTTGTGGGGGCTGGCCTGGTGGCGTAGTGGTTAAGATTGCACCCTCTGCTTTGGCAGCCCAAGTTTTGTGGGTTTGGATCCTGGGCATGGACCTACATTCTGCTTGTCAAGTGATGCTGTGGCAGCGTCCCAGAGACAAAGTGGAGGAATATTGGCACAGATATTAGCTCAGGGGTAATCTTCCTCACCAAAAAAAAAAAAGTCACCTGTGGGTTAAGAACGAAATAGAGTGAAGGGGACAAGGATGATACAAGCTAGACTTTCTGAATGTACCTTCTTCTATAGATTTGAATTTTGAACCATGTAAATATTTTATATAACTATAAAGCAAAATTAAATTTTAAGAAAGCGATTCCTAAAAAACAAAAGCAAAATCTAACAAAGAAACCTATGTGTATGCAGCTTGTGGAGTAACTACCCAGAGAAGAACTATTTCAGTGACTTTAAAATACAGTGATTTAAATATATGTTCCTAGTAGGGATATAACATAAAGACAAAAGAAAAATTGCAACAAAAAATCTTCAGCTGTTTTTAATATTGTTGGTGGTACAGTTGGTATTATTTTGCAATCATTATTTGTGTATTGTGGGATAAAGCAAATTAATAATTAAATGTGTAATTGAAAACTAGTATTTTTAGCACGAGATAAAGGAAAACAGAGCTTAAATAGATGAAGTTAAGTAAAAATACTATCTTCCTAAGTTTGTATTCGAAGTAGCAATGTGAACTCCTGATATGATTTACCTTAAAAAAGAAAGAAAAGATATTTATTAGTTCTAGACACTGAAAAGGCCTAGAAACACTATCTCAGTAGCATTGAGCACCCTATGTATCCCAATTATGATCTCTAAATACCGTTTTCACTGAAGTAAATTGGGACTCCTTAGGAGAAGTCCAACAGCTCATTCCTGGGTAGGCAAAGTACAAGATGAGCCTGGAACATCATTTCATACCAAAAGTAAAAAAGATATCAATGACAATTTATAGGGTCATGTCAGAAGGACTTAGGAGCCAACATGAAGAGAATCCCTCTGATTGAAGATGGGACAGTTTGAGTGTCAATTGGACCATAGCTACAGTGGCCTGAAACATATGTGTGATTTAATCTGTAACTTTATAGTGAAGCTTTTAAACAAAATCCTCATTTCTTGCCTTAGGAGCATGCTGGGGAACCAGTTGATAATTTTGAAGGCTGGTAAATACAGAGAAAAAAGAGAAGCATGTATTTTGCCTTCTTTTTGTAAACTGTACCTCAGGGTAATCAAATAGTTGAAGAGAAATTTTTCTTTATAGAACTATTTTGGTTAGTAAACAAAGAAAGGAGGAAAGAATATTACCATTCTTAGCTCCTAATGAGTCATTGTCTCTATGTAATGACCATTAAAAACTGCTAACATCGCAAGAAGAGACAACCAGACAGGATGTGCCTCTTCCTGGAAGGATACTACACTACTTATGAAGTATTCTTATTCTTGCCCTCTACCTGAAAAGAGTCAAATCTGAATTTGATCAAGCCTCTAGATCTAAACTGATTTATAGAAAATATAGAGGACAGTGGAACGACTGGTTACCATGGGGAGGCACCCAGTAAAACCAGAATCTGAAAAACTCTACATAGAGCAAAGGCTGAGTCTCCCAACAAATACGCTGTAAGAAAAAGTGTGTGGGGGGGGAATGTACAGATTATAAGAGATTTAGCTGATAGGTCAGCCATGCGCTATATTTGGATCTCATTCAGATCCTGATTTGACCAAACAAATTGAAAAAAAAATTTTTGAGACATTTGGGGAAATTCAAACATGGACAGATATTTGATATTAAGGGATTGTTGTTAATTTTTTAAGATTGATTAACATTAAGATGTGATGTTATTGTGGTTATGTAAAAAGTTATTTTCTTTTAGAAATACACACTGAGATTATATTGGATGAAATAATGTGATATCAGGAATTGGTTTCTAAATAATCCATGGTTGGGTGGGAGTGGAGTGTATGAGGATATAGATTAGGTGTTAGCAACGTTTCTATAAAGGGCCAGATAATAAAATATTTTAGGCTTTATGGGCCATGCAGTCTCTGTCACGGCTGCTCAACTCTACCTTTGTAGTGTGAAAGCAGGCACAGACAGAATGTAAACAAGTGGGCTTGACTGTGTTCCAATAAAACTTTATTTACACAAATAGACAGCAGGACAGATTTAGCCCACAGGTTATAGTTTGCTAACAACTCCTGGTCTAGATGGAAAGATTGACTATGAAGTGACAGTTGTTGAAGCTAAGGTACATGAGGATTCATTATATGATTTTTGCTAATTTTATATACATTTGAAAATTTGCATAATAAAAAATGAAGTAGATACCTTTTGGATAAAATTATACTAACAAGGAGCTGGGCATATTCCCTTTGTTTTGTATACAGCTCTTCTTAAACTAACCAGGAAGTAGCTCTATCTAAGAGGATTTTTTCTTAAGATCCCAAAAAAGCAATATATTGGACTCTTAGGTATTAAAATGACAAATACGCCTCTAAACTATTTTCACTGGTTTAGTTTCTCTGCATTCTTTTTGGTTTACTTTCTCTGTGTTCTGTGGCTCACATTATGAGTAATCACTCATTTATTCCCTCATCTAGGCATCAGAGATAAAATGTCTAATTGGGATGAGTTTCTGCGGCAGACCCTGATGGGAGCTTGTAGTCCTCCTGTTTCGCTGCTAGAGGGCGTGAGTATTGCTTGCAGAATCAGTATGGAAAACCCTTCTAATCTTCAGTGATATTTCCTGTCCAAGGAATCTTAAAGTTGTTTGCTCATTTACCACTCCAAGGCAAATAAGCATTGTTGCTATAGACACAGGCATGGTATTGGGAGGTTTAAACTTACCCTCAGAGATTGCAAACTGGTGGCTTGCTCAGTGCCTAAAATGTTTTGAATTAGTTGGTAACACATAAAAATCTAGTTTTCCACATTTTTTCTAGAATTTTCAGATTCTTTTATGCAGTTGGAAAATGTGGCCTTTTTGGGCTCTGACTCTGGAACTGAGCAGGAGTTGACTCTACTTCAGGATAGGCATTTGTAACTCCCATACCAGGTGACTTGAGACCCCCATTTCTTTTGCTCAGAAGACACTGGACCTATATAGTCCTACCAGCTACTCTTTTCAGTAGTCCTTTTAAATTAATATAGCTTTTGAGCTTGGTAGTGAATGCGGATTTCTTGTTTTTGTGAAATCAGTTTATTGGTTATGACGTTTCTAAGTTATATCTTGCCACTTTCTGTTATACCCATAACATTCTTTATGGCATATGTGGCAGTGTTTGAAGGTTCCACTTTCTCTACATCCTTGCCAACACTTATTTTCTGTTTGGTTATAGCTATCCTAATGGATGTGAAATAGTATCTCATTTTGGTTTGCATTTCCTTAACAACTAATGATGCTGAGCATCATTTTATGGTCTTATTTGCCCTTTGGGTATCGTTTTTGGGGAAATGTCTTTGCCCATGTTTAAACTGGATTGTCTTTTTATTATTGAGGTATGAGTTCCTTATAAATTCTGGTTACAAGTCCAGATCAGATATATGATTTCCAAATATTTTCGCCAGTTCTGTGGATTGTCTTTTCACTTTCTTCACGATATCTTTTGCAGAACAAAAGATTTTCATTTTGATATAGTCCAGTTTATCTATTTTTTTCTTTTGTTGCTTCTTGCTTTTGGTGTTATATCCAAGAATGCTTTGCTTAACCCAAGATCATGAAGATTTACTCCTGTGTTTTCGCCTAAGTGTTTTATAGTTTTAGCTCTTGGGTTTACTTCTATGATCCATTCACATTCACATTCCCCTTTAAAGCTTAATTAGTGAACACTCTATTTCAAGCTAGTCTTTATGTTTTATACTCTGACTCATTTCATTATGCTTAGCTAGAGCGTGGCGCATGGTAAACACTCAGTAAAATTTGAATGAATAAGCTAATGAATTAATAAATATCCTGCTCTACATTGACCTTGATTCTGTTGTCCTAATCTTTAGCTGTGAGTATATTCCTCCATTTGTTCATATGTTCTTTTGCATATATATGAATATGTAAGTGTCACAGAGCAGTTCTTATTAGGAAAAAAAATGTAAGTTTGAATGTTAAGAAATGGTTAAGTGATAAATATTGGAATTTGCCTTCCTTTTTATTCTTTGTTGTAGCTTTTAATATATATCTAGATATTGAGAATTAAGCTTCCTTTTTATCAGTGTAATTAAAACATTTACTGTGTTCATAACATTATTGTGAAATGAGTAAAAAATCAGAAACAACTGAGATGCCATCACTGGATAAGAGGATAAATTACTGCCTGTTTATAGTACAGAATATCAATAAAACAGTTTAAAAGAATGAGGAAGATTTATATGTGCTATCATAGGAAGATTGCTATGATATATTAAGTGACAAACACAAATTGAAAAACAGTATATGTACTCTAATTTTTCAGAAAATAGAGACAGACAGACACATGTAGCTGTTGACTTGTGTGTGGGAAACCCAGTCTCAAGAGTGTGTGCCAAACTGTTTATCATGATTCTTTCTTGTAGGTAGAATTGTGGGAGATTTTGACTTTTGTCATGTTTGACTTCTTTCTTTAATAATGATCATATTTGCTTTTACAGAGACTAAGTAATGATAATTTTTAAAAAATTCTTTCTAGGTGAGACTATATAGCATAGACCTAGAGGTAGAGATCTGTTAGAAGAGTTTTATTGCATTTTCTTTAAGATAAACATTTTCTTATCACCTAGAAATAATTCTAGAGAGACTTGTGTGATATTAGGCAATTCAGCGTCACTGGCTTTGAACAGGTAAAAATATAAAGGCTAGTTTGCCATCATTTAAAACTTGACTTTTAAAAATACTATGTTAACTTTTCTTATGTAATCATTTCACTGTTTTTACCTGCAGCTTCGTAATGGGAGGAATCCTTTAGATCTCATTGCTCCAGGATCCAGGCTAGAATGTCAAGCTTTCCGCGACTCTTTAAGCACTTGGATTGTTACTGTAGTAGAGAACATCGGGGGGAGGCTGAAGCTACGTTATGAAGGACTTGAAAGTTCCGACAATTTTGACCATTGGTTGTATTACTTGGATCCATTTCTTCATCACGTTGGTTGGGCTGCCCAACAGGGATATGAGCTTCAGCCCCCATTAGGTGAAGAGTAATAGAACATTTTTCTTTTAACTGTTACATTCTTGTTATATTATGTTTTTATTAATGCATTATTCTGCATTTTACAAAAGCCTTTTTAGTTTGCATAATAGAGATACTGCAAAAAAAATATGGAGTTGTTAAATGCCTGTTTTTCTTTTGTTTTTATTTCTTTAGTAATTTGCTACACATATTGATGTAACTCGTAGATTTCTGTTCCAACTCATACTGACCCCTTACCAAAATTAAAGAAGAATTCTCTAGGCAACATTCAGATGGGTATAGGAGTAGGACAGGTCTTGAGTTCAGAGCAAATTGTTGATTAAAAGAAATTCAGTAATATTAAAACTAGAGTTACTGTTTAAATCAGTTTGCATTTATTATTACGTGTTCTAGTTTGGATGTTGCATTATATTGTTTTGTGGACTAGAGTAATTCTTAGGATCTTACTAAAGATATTTTCACCAGGCTTACTACCCAGGCTCTGAACAGAGGAGACAGAGTACTGAAGTTAAGGTGCAAGTTCTTTGAGTGAAGATGGTGTAAATGGGCTTAAACCCTTTCCTCTTCCCAGTGGAAAGTGACTTTTTTTTATGTTTATGTGAATGCTTTCAGAGCATTTTAAAGTGTGTAAGTTCTTTCATCATTTAAAGCATCCTGTCTTGTTTTACTAAAGTCATCAGACATCTGAAAAATGAAGCTGAGTGGCAAGAGATCTTGGCCAAAGTGAAAGAGGAGGAGGAAGAGCCATTGCCATCTTACTTATTTAAGGTAAAGACAAAATATGTGATAGACAGGTACTTATCTTTTCACAGCAGAGTAAAGTAAAATTTAGGGGAGGTGCACACAAGCGTAAGATAACCCCGTGATCAGGGCTCGCACTGTGATGTCCAAAGGAGGGAAGAAGTTTGAAGGCTGGAGTAATGATCATCTTTTTTTTCTTCTCACAGTAGTCTTGGTTTTCTCCCGAAGTTGTCTTAAAGCATTTTGAGTCTTTTCTTTTCCACTCTTAGCTATGTAGCCCAAATAAGCTTGTTTTTCCTCCAGATGGCCCTTGTGTTCCAAATGTAGAGAGGAGGAGTGCTTCCTATGTTTTTTTTCCTGTATAGTTTTTTCCAGGGAAGAAAATTATAGGACTATATTATTTACCAGAAGCTGGACAGTTCCATTATTTGAATTGAGTAGTATTCAGCTATATATGTGCATAAAATTAATATGAAAATACTATATCTTAATTCCCTCTTGGTGTTTGCGTTTCAGGACAAACAAGTGATCGGCACTCATTCATTCTCTGTAAATATGAAATTGGAAGCTGTGGACCCCTGGTCTCCTTTTGGGATTTCTCCTGCTACAGTTGTTAAGGTAAAATAGGGGCAGCTCTCTTGGTGAGAATTCCCATCAAGGTGACTGGTTTAGGAAATTGGTAGTGTTTTGATCTTCAGGCTCTACTAATCCAACCTTTTGTTTCTCCTAAGCTGTGAAGCTAGAATTAGTTCCGTGTGCATTTGTAATGTCCGGTTCTCTGTGGCCCATTCCTTTTTCAGAGCTTGGTTACCCCAGGCAACCAAACCTGGGTGCCCTGAGTAGCAGGGTGCACTTTCCTTGGGGGCAGGCCTAGCTGTACGTGACTAGAGGAGATTTAATCGGCAGGTAGGTCGTGGTATGTGAAAAGTATGGAGGCCAGCAGTGCCAGCCAGGTGCAGGACTTGTTGAGTGAGGAGATCTGTGGGGAGCAGGTGATGAGTGTCACAGGATCTGCTGTAAGATCGCTCCAGCCATGGATTCCAGATTCAGACTTTAGTCTTTTGGAAGACTGACAGAAGTAACCATACTGGTCAGGTTGTCAAGGCCCAGTTACTCAGTTACTACAACTGAGGAGGAAGGGAGAAGATTCAGCTTAGGAATAGAGCAGAAGCCCATTTACTGACAGTAGAACCAAAGGTCAGGTTCAACTAGAGAAATAGTTGCTTGGGTGCTGAATCATCTGACCTGTTGAGATTTAAGTTTTCCTTACCTTGAAAGATTATTCTTAGAACAAGGAGGGATTCTGTACCTGCACTGGGGTCAGAAGGCCCTGTCTGGAGTCTGAAGGGCTGTGTGGGGTGGTAAGGAGCCACAGGAGGTTCATAAAACCTTCTCTTTTAGCATTTGAAACTGGGCTAGGATCTGAAAATCTAATATACGAGTGTAGTTGACTCCTCACTAAGCCTAAACTAAATTTTGTGTCGAGTCCAAATTCTTGGATTTGAACCCAGGTTCTGCATCTTCCTGGCTGTGTACCACGGGGCAAGTTGTTTAACCTCCTTTTAAACTCAGTTTCCCTATCTGCAAAATGGGGTTGATAATGGTACCTTACTTCATTAGGTTGTTAGGAAGATTAAAACTGAATTAATGCATGAAAAGCATTTGATTAAAAGAGTGCCTGACACAGAAGTAACATTTATTGAGTGCTTAGCATTATTGTTAATGCCTGCTGTGGCTTTGAAGTTTTGTAACGTTTGGCTTTGCCAAGGAAGTGACGTTTTTGTGTGTGTGTGTGTGTGTGTGTGTGTGTGTGTGTATGTGTATGTGTATACATACCCATAAAACCATTTGTCTATTTTATCTGTTAAATTGTGTGTACAGGTTTTTGATGAGAAGTACTTCCTGGTAGAAATGGATGATTTGCGACCAGAGAATCAAGCACAGCGATGTTTTGTGTGTCATGTCGACAGTCCTGGTATTTTCCCCGTGCAGTGGAGTCTGAAGAATGGTTTACACATCAGCCCCCCTCCTGGTGTGTATTCATTCTTTTCTGAATTATTCATTGGGAACTTTTTCTTGAAATTAGATTTATCAGATGGCATTACCTGGATCTTTTGTCCCTCTCTCTCCTCTTGCTCCAGCCTGTCTTTAACATTTTTGGGCCTCAAGATAAGTGTAAATGAAGGCCTAGATTCCATATATTTACATATTTGAAATTTATAAATTAAACTAAAAAACTATTAGAGTATGTTCTGTCCTCCTACACTGACAAATATATCTTCATAACAACCTGGGATTCCATGCAGGTTCATTAGTTCAGTCCATCTTAGATTTATTAGGAGGTCACAGAGTCGTGGGAGTAGGATGCACAGTGAGTGTTGGGAGCTAGCTTAAGAGAAGAAACATTAGAGTCAGAGCTAGGAGGGAGATTATTGATGATGTTTAGGTTTCTGGGCCTCATCTTGGAAGGAGACTCTTTGGACTTCAGAGGGAGGTTTATGGTCAAGAGTAGGACTCAGAGAGGCTGTACTTAGGAAAGTAGCAGCTCATTTTTCTGGTGTTTGTAACTTTGCAAAATCTAATCTTTGACCCTTTAATCAAGACTCTTGAATATGACTTAGTTGAGCTTGACTGAAATTTTTGATGTTTTTTAACTTAGAGTATCTGGAAGTGGCAATGTTTATCTGATTTTTATATCAGCAAATCAGATTATTTGATTGGCAGTCTATGTATCTTTTCTTAGTTGGCTTTTGGTAAAGCATAGCTTCACTTTCTAAATGGTGACTACTGAAACACTGGGCTGGAAGTGCTCTTTTGTGTTAACCAAAGTCATAAATTCAGAAGCTTTTGCCATCCGTTCAGCCTTCATTCATCCAACAGACATTTATGGAATGTTTGCTATGAGCCAGGCAGTGGGCTTGTCACTGGGGAGACAAAAGTGAGTACAACAACTCCTTCAAGGAGTGAATAGGGAAAAACAGTAACAGCCTCCCATGTTCTCCTCCGTCAGTGAACAGAGAATGGAAATGCCTGCCTGGTGGAGATGGTGATGGGGGACAACCTACTTGAGGAAGTTCTTGCTTTGCAGACAGGCTCTGGATATCCTGGGTTCTTTATCCTGCCTGCTGCCTTTATGAGAAAAGGAAAAAGCAATGAAAAATATCAGAGCTTTCAACATTGTCATAGACAACTCAACTGTCTTTGTAAATAGAAGGAAAGCAGTGGATTATGTAATTGAAAATGGCAGATACTTTACTGTGAGGGAGTTGAAGTGGAGGCAGAGGGAGAACATGGTGTCAGTCTGAGTTGGGCAGATGAGGTGATTGCAGGGGCTGTTTGACTGTAGGATGGCATAGTCTTGAGTAGCCTGCTCTGTGCCTGTGAGATATTAAGCTCTCTGGAGCAGAAAGCAGCTCAGATACAGCAGGGAAGTTGGGCCCAGTCCAACTTCTTGCACACAGACGGTGCAGTCAGGGCATCAGATTGTAGAGGCTTCAACTAAGAACCTTGGTAGACTTAAGTGGGGTGTTAAACTCAACTTTTCTTCTGAAATGAATTCATGATTCAGCTTATAAGAGCATTGAGATTCTGTGGGACATAAATCTGAAAACAGTGCTGAGAGTATTGTTTCTTGGTAGCTAAGCTTGTTTAAGGAAATAGCTTTATGAAAGAAAAAACGTCTTCACTGATTAAATAGCACTGTAGATTATTTGGTGTATCTTTTCTTTTAGAGCCTAAGTAATAATAGAATTGATACTAAGCCTCGATTTATTGGTACAAATCAAATCCAGTCATAACTGTCTTAAATTCTTTTGGTAAATTGCCAGTAATCAATCATATAAAATCTCTCTCAAAAGAAATGCCTAGTTTGAAACTTGAAAGTTCTAAGATTTATCCAGAGAATTTTATTGTAGTGTTATAGTTTGACCAGAGTTGCTCTGTTTTATGAAATTAATAATGCTTTGGATTTATTGGGTGCCTTTTCTAAAATGATCAAGTCCTCACATTAGCAAAATGAGAAGTTGTGGGCAGACACCTAGCAGAATGGTAAAGCCAGGCAGGCAGGTGCCGTTTGAATCACTGTTCTTGTCTCCCTCCCTAGGCTACCCGAGCCAGGACTTTGATTGGGCCGACTACCTCAAACAGTGTGGTGCTGAAGCTGCTCCCCAGAGGTGCTTCCCTCCGGTGAGAACCCTGCCCCCTCATGGCCACGGACTGGGGACTGCTGTGCTTCCCGTGCTTTTCCGGTTTTTGCTCTAAAGTCAGTTCTCTCATTCAACCCAAATAAGCAGCTTGTTGATTGTAATAAAATGTTCAAAGGAAAAAATCATTTACTGCAGAGTTAATTTGTTAACTTAATTAGTTTTTTTTTTTTAAGATTGGCGCCTGAGCTAACAACTATGGCCAGTCTTTTTTTTTTTTCCACTTTCTCTCCCCAAATCCCCCCTGGAACATAGTTGTATATCTTAGTTGCAGGTCCTTCTAGTTGTGGCATGTGGGACACCGCCTCAGTGTGGCCTGATGAGGGGTGCCATGTCCGCGCCCCAGGATCTGAACCAGCGAAACTCTGGGCCGCCGAAGCAGAGTGCATGAACTTAACCACTTGGCCATGGGGCCAGCCCCTTAATTAGTTTTTAAAGTTTATCAGTTTTATTTTTTATTAGCTGAAATCATGGGAATTAAAATTTTAGTTCGTAATTATTTTTGCTGGTTCAGTAATATGAAAAAGTGTTCAAATATTAAGTGGGGAAAAAATGTTAAGGTTATTTAAAAGTACTTCTGTCAAAATAATACCTGCAGATTGTTTACAAAGCCAAATAGCAGTAAAGGCTTAGAACATAAAACACCTGTTCCCTGCCCTGTCACTTTCCATGGCCTCCCTGCCCAGAAGTAGTCACTTCCTCTTCTCCTCACTGTTATTCTGATATTTATACTTCTCGTTTTCAAAATAATATGCTGCTGTCTTTTGAGTCATTAATTTTAGACATGTCTATTGGTTCTGTGTTATGGTAAATGAACATTTAGCTATTTTACATTACCTTTTTCCTCTGTTCCCCACCTCTTCTTCCTATTAGAGTTATATTATAATTTTTGGGTAAATCTGAATTGAGTATTTATCATTTGCATTCAGTTCTTCACAGCTGAACACTGCAGTATTTTATGACTGTTTCCTTTTTTAATTTGTCCTCAAGTTAATAATTGCCTTGTTTTTCATAGCCCAGTTTTCTTCGTTTCCATAACTAGTTCTTCCCACACCTTCCAGTAGTCTCTCATAAATATTTCCACAAAGGCAATCACATCAGGAAATCTGTCATTTCTCCTCCCCACTCCACCTTCATGAAACTTACAGTGTATTTGGGGAGTGGGGGAGTCAAACAATATATTCAGAAGTTCTCTTATCTGACTCTGTCAGGCAGATTAGTGGGTTAATTGAAAGTCAGGTAAATCAGAATCATCTTTTGATGAAACAATCTATTTTAATTTAAGATGTTTAACTATGCATTCATTTGCTGATCTTTTGGTAAGGCATTTCCTTTGTGTGTGGATTGTCAACTTGTGTTCCCTCAAGTTTTTTCTTGCATAAGTTACACTTAACATATACCCTGTCATTTTCAGTAGAATGAGAACTTGGATACTTTGAAACAATATGAATGCAGAATCCTTCTCAATTTTTAATTATCTTTTCTTTTCCCTTATCTTTTTATACTTGTCTTGCCCACACGTGTTTTGATAGCAGTTTTTCCAGTGATTCATATTTATTATTCTTAATAGCAGCGTAGTTTTATGTTGGTGTGTGGTAGGGGAAGGCAGCTGTCTCACTGATAAGAGCTAAGGGGGGCCAAGAATGGTCTCTGAAACCAACCACTTCTGCAGGGGTCTAAAGTTCCACCAAAGAGCATGATGCTCTGGCTACATCTACCTTGAAGACAGGCCCTGAGTGAGATGATTATGGAGACCACAAGCACCAGTGCCCTTGTGCCTGAGTCATAGTCTTGTTTTTGGAGCCAGTTGAATCCCTATAGCATTTCCCAGAAGTCTCTTTGATCCAGCTAGGCCTGTGTAGATTATTTTCTAGTTCAGGTCATTTCTTTGTATATTAAGGTAGAAGGGTTAAAATAGAAGATGTTCCCTAGCCATGTTTTCTTTTCCTCATGTCCATGACCACTCAGATACGCTGATGTAGGATTTCTAATATCTTCTTAGAGACATCCCTCTTAGCACCCTCTGTTCTCTCTACCTAGATGCGTTGCTCTCTAGGCGTTCTGCGTAGTTTTAATCCTGGAAACTGCCCTTCATTGTCATCCAAGGAATTGCTTTTCCCCTTTCTTGAGATTTGAGATCCTTGTTCTGTATATCTCATGGCCTCCTCTTTCTTGGTTTATTCTTTATTTTGACAGAGCCCATCTTTCAATAGCTTCCTGAAATGGAATGCTAGGGAGGTAAATTTTTGTTGACTTTGCATATTTGAAAATGTCTTCATTCTACTAACTTGATTGATAGTTTGGCTCAATGTGGAATTTTAGGTTGGAAGTTATTTTACTTGAGAATTTTGAGAACATTAGTCAGTTATTTTCTGTCTTCCAGTACTGCTGTTGAGACGTTGAAAACCATTCTTATTCTTGATGTTTCATAGATGATGTGCCTTTTACTCCATCTCTGGAAGGTTATAGAATCTGTTTGTCACCACATTTCACAGAGACCAGCCATGGTGTAGCCTGTCTTCATCCGCGAGCTGGGTGCTCAGTGGGCATGCTCTGTCTGGACACTCTGCCTCTCTGTGCTTGGAAGCTCCCTTGAATCTCTTCTTCCATTTCCTCCCTTCCATGTTCTTTCTCCTCTTTGTCTGGAACTCCTTTTATTTGTATGTTGGCCCTCTGGATCAGACCTCTACTTTTCTTACCTTTTTTCTCCTGTTTCCTATTTCTTCCTCTTTTTGCTTTGCTTGTAGGAAGATTTCCTAAACTTTACCTTTCAACCCTTCTTTTGAGTTTTTTGTTGTTGTTATTTTGTTTTTTAAGGAAGATTAGTCCTAAGCTAACATCTGCAGCCAATCCTCATCTTTTTTTGGCTGAAGAAGACTGGCCCTGAGCTAACATCCATGCCCATCTTCCTCTATTTTATATGAGACATCTGCCACAGCATGGCTTGACAAGCAATGTGTAGGTCCACACCTGGGATCTGAACTGGTGAACCCTGGGCTGCCAAAGCAGAACGTGGGAACTTAACTGCTGTGCCACCGGGCTGGCCCCAATTCTTCTAAGTTTTTAGTAGCATGGTTTTGATTTTCCAGAACTGTGTCTGTTCTCTGATTATTTATTTATTTATTTGAGGAGATTGGCCCTGAGCTAACATTTGTTGCCAATCTTCCTCTTTTTTTTTTTCCCCTCCCCAAAGCCCTGGTAGATAGTTGTGTACCCTAGTTGTAGGTCGTTCTAGTTCCTCTGTGTGGGATGCCACCATACCATGGCTTGATGAGCGGTGCATAGGTCCATGCCCAGGATCTGAACCTGCAAACCTGGGCTGCTGAAGCAGTGCATGCAAACTTACCCACTTGGCGGTGGGGCCAGCCCCTCTGAGTATTTATTTTTAACAGCATACTATTCTTTATTTAAGGATGCAGTAGTTTTTCTTTCACTCAGGATGTAAATTACCCCTCCCTCTTTGGAGGTGTTCTTCTTATGTAGTCTGTTTTCTCCAACTTGCTTGTTTTTGTCTGTTTTGGTCTCTAGCTTTCCTATCTTTAGATGTCTGGTAATGCTTTCTTATTTGCTTATATTTAAGAATGGGGAATGAAAGAAAAAGCTGATTGGACGCTCTTGAGTATGTGGTTGAGGCTTGTCAACCTTGAACTGCCCTAAGGTGGGGGACCTGGCTGGCCATTTACTGGGGACACCTAAATCCATATCTTTATGTGTTTCTCTTTGTTCTTGTCATATTACCACAAGAAGTCCCTTGCCTGGAGGGTAGAGGCAAGGGTTGGACCTCTCAGCGTGCCGCATGCTAACCCCTATTCTGGGCACTGCCTGCATGCCCTCAACAGTTCCTATGTCCTCCTGCCCGGGGATCTTGTGTTTTGCCCTCTCTGGAGAATAAATCTCATCTGCTGTAGCGGAGGGGGGAGAGACAGTTGCCTTGGGGTGTGGAGTAGAGGAGCTGATGGCATGACCTAAAGGCTTCTTAAATGTTTTCAACAGATCTTTTTATTTTGACTATTTCTCCTCTATCTCCAGTTGCCTAGTACTTGGTGCTGCCAGTTTTTGGATTGCTTCACTGTCAGCTTAGATTCGTTTACCTTTCTTTAATCTGCTAAGTTAGTTCTAGATGTTATTTCTAAATCTTAGCTTATGAAGTGTTGTCATTGTCTCCTCTCCTGTTATATCCATCCTAGTTAGTTTATGTCTGGGGAAAAAAACACTTTAGTTGGTGAATTGTCAGAATGGAGAGAGAAAAATTAAATACAGAAGTTCAGTTCTCCATTTGGCCCAGAAGCTGCAAATTTTTAAAACATATCTTTTAAACAACCCTTTCCCCTTATTCATAAGCATTATTTATCCCGACGGCCTTTTAGGATACACATAGAAGAAGGAACCAGGAGTTCTTGTGTGATAGGGCCCTTTATAGGAGGGGAAGTGAACCAGCTAGTGGTTGAGAGCTGCTTGGTTCAGGGCACAGAGCCTTAAGTCGTTTATTTTATTGAAACCTCATAATAACCCAGTGAGATAGGTGTTCTTGACATCACCTGACAGGTGAGGAAACAGAGGCAAAAAGAGGTTACACAGTTTGGGCAAAGTCACAGAGGTAGCAGTAATGCAGGTGTATCTAACCTCAGAAACCATACTGCCTATAACACCAAGAGAGGCAGACTTTTTCCTTTGCTTCATTGAGAAACAAAGCAAAATATAGCTTGAAATAAAGTGTTACTCTAGGATTAAATATTACTTGGAGAAGGTCTCTCAAATGATGACATGAGTTAATATTGAGTAGGCATTTAGATTTGATTCGTTTATTTTCTAGTCAATTTGTGAGCATGAATTTAAGGAGAACATGAAGCTTGAGGCCGTGAACCCTCTTCTTCCCGAAGAAGTGTGTGTTGCCACCATTACTGCTGTGAGAGGCTCATATCTGTGGCTCCAGCTGGAGGGTGAGTTCCAGTTCTCTGAGGAGCCTTCTCTGTTTTTCCTGTTGACGCCTGTAATGTGCCTTGTTAAACTGAATCGATTAGCTAAATAGGCATCTTGTTCAGAGACTTCTAATTTGTAATGCAAGGTTCTAAGCCAAAAGTTTATCTTTCTGTCTGACTTTCAAATTTTAGGAAATGAGTATGAAGAAAAAGCCTTCAGGAGAGACTCCCCTATTTTTTTGAAGGGGAAAGTATAAGTCAAATAGTATATATTTTGTTGTGACCAAAATAATATGAGCATGAGCATTAACATCTAGCTTATTCAAGAGATAATATTTTGGTTGCTCCCAACAAATAGGACCAAAAAGTATGTTAAATAGAAAAGATATACTAGAAGTAATATTCAGTGAATGGACAGGTTTGTGGGTGGAGAGCACCCTAGGAATACTCAGTGCTACAGTTACTGTATGTGGCCTGGCTGCCAAATGGTCAGACTCCGTACCTGCTGTTCCTGATTTGCAGAATTGGCATTTAATGCAGATGTCAAGGACAGTATTGAATATAGACTTTTACATAACCCCTGCTGAGCAACTTGCCTACGTCACTTGCTGATTTGAATTCACTGGACTACCTTCCGGCCTGTTCCTGAGTACCAGAACTAATGTTCTCATTGAGTAGAACTGTCATTTTTGCTTTTGCTTTCCAGTTATTTCATGGAACTGACCATATTTGTCAACTGTCTGACGAAAAACCTGGTAGTTCCAGTTGCTTATTTGCTGTTCTGTACCTAAGGGCTCCCCTGTATATTCGCTACCCGTTTTGGTCTTTATATGGTTATGCATGGGGGACGGTTTAGTTTTTTCTTTTTTTTTTTGTTTTGAGGAAGATTAGCCCTGAGCTAACATCTGCCACCAATCCTCTTTTTGCTGAGGAAGACTGGGCCTAAGCTAACATCTGTGCCCATCTTCCTCTACTTTATATGTGGGACGCCTGCCACAGTATGGCTTGCCAAGCAGTGCATAGGTCCGCACCTGGGATCCAAACTGGTGAATCCCGGGCTGCCAAAGCAGAACATGTGCACTTAACCACTGCGCCACCAGGCTGGCCCCTAGTTTTTCTTCTTAATGTTTGTCACACATGAAAAGTTTAACTTCTGTGTAAAAGGAACTTCCTTAAGAGACTTTGTGTCTGTATAATTGCAGCAGTAGAACTTTTTCTAGGAAGTAGTTTATGAAGAAGGCTATTTAAAGGTCTAAAACATTTTTTTAATCTGAACAGGTTCTAAGAAGCCCATACCTGAATGTATTGTAAGTGCGGAATCCATGGATATATTTCCTTTGGGCTGGTGTGAAACCAATGGCCATCCGCTCAGCGCTCCTCGCCGAGCACGAGGTAGCTGTCTATTTCTGTGTCAAAGGTTTGATTGTTAAATAATCTGTCATGTGGCTCCTACCAATTAGTAGTCTGGACATTTTAGAGAAAAACAAAATCATGTTATGGTAATCTTTTCCTGCCTAGAAAATCACTTATTGCAACAAACATTTATTACTTTACTGTTTCTTTGAGTCAGGAATCTGGGCACAATTTAGCTGGGTCCTGTGGATCCAAGTGTCTCACAGCCTACAGTCAAGGTGTCAGCCAGGGCTCTAATTATCTCAAAACCCAACTGGGAGAGGATCTGCTCCCAAGGTGACTCATGATTGTTGGCAAGAATTCATTTCCTTGTGGGCTGTTGGACTGAGGACCTCAGTTCCTTGCTGACTGTTGGTTTGAGGCTTCCCTCAGTTTCTTGCCATGTGGGTCTCTTCATAGGGGAACCCACAGCATGGCGGTTGGTTTCCATCAGATCCAGCAAGGGAGAGAGTAAGAGAGGTTAAGCAAGATGGACGTTAGAGTGTTTTTGTAACCTAATCTTAAAAGTGACAACTCTCTCACCCCTTTTAAAAACAGCTTTATTGAGATATCGTTTATATAACATAAAATTTACTCTTTTAAAGTATACAGTTCAGTGTTTTTTACCATATTCACAGAGTTGTGCAACTATCACCACAGTCAATTTGAGAACATTTTCATAATCTCAGAAAGACACCTCCTACCCCTTAGCAATCAACTCTCCATCTCCCGCCCCTCAGTCCTAGGCAACTGCTACTTTACTTTCCATCTCTGTAGATTTGCCTATTCTGGACATCTCCTGTAAATGGAATCATACAATATGTGGTCTTTTGTGGCTGGCTTCTTTTACTTAGCGTAATGTTTTCAGAGTTCATCCATGTTGTAGCAAGTATGAGTACTTCATTCCCTTGTATTTCTGAATAAGATCCCATTGTATGGATACCACGTTTTGTGTATCCATGCGTCAGTTGATGGACATTTGGATTGTTTCCATTCTCCACCTATTATGAATAATGCTGCTATGAACATTTGTGTACAGATTTTTATGTAGACATGTTTTCATTTCTCTTGAGTATATAACTGTGTGTTTAACAGTTAGAGGGACTGCCAGACTGTTTTCCAGCTGCACCGTTTTACATCCCCACCAGCAATGTACGAGGGTTCCACCTTCTTCACATTCTTCCCAACACTTGCTAATTTCTGGGGGGTTTTGGTTTGTTTATTTTTTGGAGTTTTCTTTTGGAGGGGTAGGTAATAGCCATCCTGGTGAGTGTGGGGTGGTATCTTACTGTGGTCTTGATTTTCATTTCCCTAGTGGTAGTTATACTGAGCATCTTTTCATGTGCTTATTGACTGTTGGTGTATTTTCTTCAGAGAAATGTCTATTCAAGTCCAATGCCCTTGTTTTTTTTGAGGAAGATTAGCCCTAATTAGAGCTAATTCTGCCACCAATCCTCCTCTTTTTCGCTGAGAAAGATTGGTCCTGAGCTAACATCTGTACCCATCTTCCTCTACTTTGTATGTGGGATGCCTGCCACAGCATGGCTTGATAAGTGGTGCATAGGTCCACATCTGGGATCTGAACTGGTGAACCCTGGGCTGCCAAAGCAGAGCACACAAACCCCACCGCTGCATCACCAGGCTGGCCCCAGGCTTTGCCCATTTTTTAATTGGGTTTTTTTGTTGTTGTTGAGTTGTAGGATTTTATTGTATATTCTAGATATTAATCCCTTATCAGATAGGTGATTTGCAAATATTTTTCCCATTCTGTGGGTTGCCTTTTCTGTCCCTTGATAGTGTCCTTTGATGCACAAAAGTTGTTTTTTGTTCATGTAGTCCAGTTTATCTATATTTTCTTTTGATACCTGTGCTTTTGGTGTCATATCCAAGAAATTGCCAAATTCAATGTCATGAAGATTTTCCTCTATGTTTTCTTCCCCTAATAGTTTTATAGTTTTAGCTCTTATGTTTAGGTCTTTGGTTTATTTTGAATTAATTTTTGTATATTGTGTAGGGTAAAGGTCTACCTTCATTAATGTGCATATTCAGTTTTCCCAGTGCTATTAAGAAGCCTGTACTTTCCCCCATTGAATGGTCTTGGCACCCTTGTTAAAATCAGTTTTTCTTTTGAATATCTATTCCTGCTTAGAAAATATTTATAGGAGTTGATTGATGAGAGAACCTTGAAAATACTATGTTTGATCTTTGTATAAAGACTCCTACCCAGAAAATGTGCCTTAGTCTAGATGCTTAGACATATCAGCACTTATTTATAGTACTTGCCAGTTAAATATATACAGAACTAGGTTTTAAATATATGCTAATGTTAGCTTAGTACATATAACTTTATCTTTTTATTTTCCTTCACATGTACATTTTTTTTTCTTACAGTATTCAAGCAGAGGAAAATTGCAGTGGTTCAACCAGAAAAACAGTAAGTAAGATAACAGTATTTTGAACAGTTGACATTTAAAAGTTAGAATCTCTAGAAAAAGAAATAACTATTTCAGAGTGTATATATCCTCATTTATTTTCTCAGAAGAAAGCGTATAACCTTTAATTCAGCTTTTGATAGTTTACATACTTTTTCTTAGAGTACCATAGGCATTTTCAAAATGGCATTATATGCACAAGGGTAAAAGGCATCCTCAGGATGTTCCCTAAATTGAGTTTTCTTTGGCTTTTAGAGCCTCAAGTCATTTGAATAAGAGAAGACATAGAGTCTCTATGCTATTATTTGTTAAGGAAGAGTAAAAATTATAAATTAGGATATGATTTGTCGCAGTGAAAAAAAACCTGAGGTAGAAGACAACTCCAAGAAAAGGCACTCAAAGGGGTGCTTTGGTGTTCCATTAAGAAACCCTTTGCACCGTACCTTGATACACAGCTTTTGAGAAGTGATTAATTAGTGGTGCCTTAAAAATACAAGAGTTTCTGTGCACTTGTGGGTTTTTTTGGTTTTTTGATTGACATCATAATAGTTTATAACATTGTGAAATTTCAGTTGTATGTTATTAATTGCTATTGACTAGATAAATGTTCCCCTTTACTCCTTATGCCCGAGCCCAACCCCCTTCCCCTCTTGTAACCCTAATCTTTTCTCTTTGTCCATGTGTTTGTCATGAGTGAAATCATGTGGTGTTTGTCTTTCTCTGGCTTATTTCGCTTAACATCATACCCTCAAGGTCCATCCATGTTGTTGCAAATGGGATGAGTTTTTTTTTGTGGTCGAGTAGTAGTCCATTGTATGTATATACCACATCTTCTTGGTCCATTCATCAGTCAGTGTGCACTAGGGTTGCTTCCACATCTTGGCTATTGTGAATAATGCTGCAGTGAACATAGGGGTGCATAAGTGTCTTTGAATTGTTGATTTCAAGTTCTTTGGATAGATACCCAGTAGTGGGATAGCTGAGTCGTATGATATTTCTATTTTTAATTTTTTGATAAATCTCCATACTGTTTTCTGTAGTGGCTGCACTAGTTTGCATTCCCACCAGCAGTGCATGAGGGTTCCCTTTTCTCCACATCCTGTCCAACATGTGTTATTTTTTGTCTTGGTTGTCGATGAAAATAATCCATAACCAATCTATAAATGAAAATTTGGGAGAGTTTATTCTGAGCTGAAATGTGAGGACCATGGCCCGGGGCCTTTCTTCCCGAAGGAAGAAAGGGCACCAAAGAAGAGGGGTGCACAGAGTGGTTATATACCCCCAGAGAGGATGTTTCACATAGGATTGAAATGTCCCTTTTACAATAGTCGCGAAACTGCTCTGTCGGCACAGGGATTAATGGAAATAGCAGGTAGGTCTTCTGTCTCAGTGAACACAGCAGGGTGGCAGTCTGTTGTCTCGAGCTGGGTGGTCAAAGGTGAGTGCAGCAATCAGTTCCTAGCCTAAGGAAAGATGCTTATCCCTAAGGAAATGCCAATGTCGGGGGAAGTTGCACCTTCATCTCAAGGGCCTTTGTTCTGGCTATAGGAAATGTCTAAGCAGATATGCAATGCATGCTCAATAGCCACAGTCAGGCCCTTTTGGAAAAAACAAAGTCAGGCCGAATTAGGTTTATACCAAATGGCTTCCTCATATACTCCAATATATCCTATTGCTTGCCATTTTTATTTGTCATGGTGATTATAGCCATTCTAATGGCTGTAAGGTGATAGCTCCTTGTAGTTTTGATTTGCATTTCCCTGATGATTAGTGACGTTGAATATCTTTTCATGTGCCTATTAGCCATCTGTATATCTTCTTCGAAGAAATGTCTGTTCATATCTCTGCCCATTTTTTGATCATGTTGTTTGTTTTTTTGTTGTTGAGTTGTGTGAGTTTTTTATATATTTTGGAGATTAACCCCTTGTCAGATAGGTGATTTGCAAATATTTTCTTCCAGTTGGTGGGTTGTCTTTTCATTTTGTTCCTGGTTTTCTTTGCCTTGTAGAAGCTCTTTAGTCTGATGAAGGCCCAATCTGTTTATTTTTTCTTTTGTTTACTTTGCCTGAGTAGACATGGTATTCACAAAGATCCTTCTGAGACTGATGTCAAAGAGTGTACTGCCTATATTTTCTTCTAGGAGTTTTATGGTTTCACATCTTACCTTCAAGTCTTTAATCAATTTTGAGTTAATTTTAGTGTATGGCGAAAGATAGTGGTCTACTTTCATTCTTTTGCACATGGCTGTCCAGTTTCCCCTCCACTATCTATTGAAAAGACTTTTCCTTTCTCCGTTGTATGCTCTTTGCTCCTTTGTCAAAGATTAACTGGCCATAGATGTATGGTTTTATTTCTGGGCTTTCAATTCTGTTCATTGATCTGTGTGTCTGTTTTTGTGCCAGTACCATACTGTTTTCATTACTATAGCTTTGTAGTATATTTTGAAGTCCAGGATTGTGATGCCTCCAGCTTTGTTCTTTTTTCTAAGGATTGCTTTGGCTGTTTGGGGTCTTTTTTTGTTCTGTCTAAATTTTAGGATTCTTTGTTCTATTTCCATGAAGAATGTCATTGGGATTCTCATTAGAATTACACTAAATCTGTGGATTACTTTAGGTAATATGGACATTTTAACTATGTTTATTCTTCCAATCCATGAGCATGGAAGATCTTTCCATTTCTTTATGTCTTCAATTTCTTTCAGTTATGTCTTACAGTTTTCACTGTATAAGTCTTTCAACTTCTTGGTTAAATTTATTCCAAGATATTTTATTCTTTTTGTTGTGACTGTAAATGAGATTGTATTCTTAAGTTCTCTTTCTGTTAGTCCATTATTTGAGTATAGAAATGCAATTTATTTTTGTAAGCTCATTTTGTACTCTGCAACTTTGCTGTAGTTGTTGACTATTTCTAATAGCTTTCCAATGGCTTCTTTAGGGTTTTCTATATATAAAATCATGTCACCTGCAAACAGCAAGAGTTTCACTTCTTCACTGCCAATTTGGATACCCTTTCTTTCTTTTTCTTTCCTAATTGCCCTGGCCAAAACCCTCCAGTACTATGTTGAATAAGAGTGGCGAGAGTGGGCACCCTTGTCTTGTTCTTATTCTGAGAGGGATGGCTTTCAGCTTTTCTCCATTGCGTATTATGTTGGCTGGGGGTTTGTTATATATGACCTTTGTTGTGTTGAGGTACTTTCCTTATATATCCATTTTATTGAAAGGTTTTATCATAAGTGAATGCTGGATCTTGCCAAATGCTACTCTGCATCTATTGAGATGATCTTGAGGTTTTTATTCCTCATTTTGTTAATGTGGTGTATTGTATCACATTGATTTGTGGATGTTGAACCATTCCTGCAGCCCTGGTATAAATCCCCTGTGATTGATCATAGTGGATGATCCTTTAATGCATTTGGTTTGCCAATATTTTGTTGAGGATTATTGCATCTATGTTCATCAGTGATATTGGCCTGTAGTTTTCCTTCTTTGTGTTGTCTTTGTCTGGTTTTGGGATCAGGGTGATGTTGGCCTCATAGAACGAGTTAGGAAACATTCCATCTTCTTCGATTTTTTGGAATACTTTGAGAACGATCAGTATTAAATCTTCTTTGAATGTTTGGTAGAATTCTCCAGATAAGCCATCTGGTCCTAGACTTTTATTTTTGGGGAGGATTTTGATTACTGTTTCAATCTCTTTAGTTGTGATTGGTCTTTTCAGATACTCTATTTCTTCTTGATTCAGTTTTGGGAGCTTATGTTAGTCTAAGAATTTATCCATTTCTTCTGGGTTATCCAATTTGTTATCATGTAGTTTTTCATAGTATTCTCTTATAATCCTTTGTATTTCTGTGGTAGTCACTGTAATTTCTCCTCTTTCATTTCTAATTTTATTTATTTAAGCCTTCTCTCTTTTTTTCTTAGTGAGTCTGGCTAAGAATTGTCAGTTTTGTTTATCTTCTCAAAGAACCAGCTCTTAGTTTCATTGATCCTTCTATTGTTTTTTTTTGTTTGTTTCTATTTCATTTATTTCTGCTTTAATTTTTGTTATTTCCTTCCTTCTGCTGACTTTGGGTTTTGTTTGTTTTTCTTTTTCTGGTTTTGTTAGGTGTAGTTTAAGATTGCTTATTTGAAATTTTTCTTGTTTGTTGATGTGCACTTGTATTGCCATTAATTTCCCTCTTAGGACCACTTTTGCTGTATCCTATATGAGTTGGTATGGTGTATTTTCATTTTCATTTGTCTCCAGGTATTTTTTTGGTGTCTCCTTTGATTTCTTCAATGATCCATTGGTTGTTCAGTAGCCTGTTGTTTAGTCTACACATATTTGTCACTTTCTCAGCTTTTTTCTTATAGTTGATTTCTAGTTTCATAGCATCGTGGTCAGAATAGATGCTTGCTGTGGTTTCACTCTTCTTAAATTTATTGAGGCTTGCCTTGTTTCCTAACATATGATCTATCTTTGAGAATGTTCCATGTGAACTTGAGAAGAATGTGCATTCTGCTATTTTTGATGGAGTGTTCTATATATATCTATTAACAGTCCATTATGTCTATTTTTTCGTTTAATTCCACTATTTTCTTGTTGACTTTCTGTCTGGATGATCTATCCATTGATGTAAGTGGGATTTTAAGGTCCCCTACTATTGTTGTGTTGCTGTTACTATCTCCTTTAGCTTTGTTAATAGTTGCTTTATGTACTTTGGTGCTCCTGTGTTAGGTGCATATATATATTTATTAGTGTTATGTCCTCTTGGTGGAATGCCCCTTTTATCATTGTATACTGAGTCTCTTTGTCTCTCATTGCCTTTTTTGTCTTGAATTCTACTTTGGTAGAAGTATGGCAACACCTGCTTTCTTTTGTTTGCAGTTACCTTGGAGTATTGTCTTCCATCCCTTCACTCTGAGCCTCTGTTTGTCTTTAGAGCTGAGATGTGTTTCCTGGAGGCAGCATTTTGTTGGCTTTTGTTTTTCAATCCATCCAGCCACTCTGTGTCTTTTGATTGGAGAACTCAATCCATTTACATTTAGAGTGATTATTGGGGGCGGGCCCTGTGATGCAGCGGTTAAGTGCGCACATTCCACTTCAGCGGCCCGGGGTTCACCAGTTGGGATCCCGGGTGTGGACATGGCACTGCTTTGCAAGCCATGCTGTGGTAGGCATCCCACATTTAAAGTGGAGGAAGATGGGCATGGGAGTTAGCTCAGGGCCAGTCTTCCTCAACAAAAAGAGGAGGATTAGCAACAGATGTTAACTCAGGGCTAATCTTCCTCAAAACAAACAAACAAACAAAAACAACATTTAGAGTGATTATTGATATATGAGGGCTTAATGCTGCCATTTTATCACTTATTTTCTGATTTTTCTGTATTTCCCTTGTTTCTCATCTCGTGTATTTCAGAGTGCCATTTCAGTTTGGTAGTTCTCTATGTTGGTTTTCTCAGTTGTTTCTTTATTTATCGTTTGTGTCTCTGTTCTGATTATTTGTTTAGTGGTTACTGTGAGGTTTGTATAAACAAAAGTCTCGTAGATGAGACAGTCCTTTTTCTGATACTCTTTTATTTCCTTAGTCTATGCAGATTGCATCCCTCTCCTCTTCCCCTTCTACGTTATTGTCGTCACAACTTATTCCAGTTTGTGTTGCGTTCTTGTGGTTAAAATGATGAGATTATAGTTATTTTTGATGTTTCCTTCTGCTTACCTTTAATGCGCTAAGTGTTTGCTAACCTGTTCTGTGGAAGAGCTACAATTTGCTGATTTTGTCTGCCTATTTATCTCCTTTCTCAAGGCTTTGTAAACCCTTTGTTTTTTTTCAGGTATGAGGGCCTTCTTGAGCATTTCATGTAGAGGGTATCTTGTGGCAATGAACTCCCTCAGCTTTTGTTTATCTGGGAAAGTTTTTATTTCTCCATCATATCTGAAGAATATTTTTGCTGGATAGAGTATTCTTGGCTGAAAGTTTTTGTTTTTCAGAATTTTGAATGTATTATTCCACTCTCTCCTAGCCTCTAAGGTTTCTGCTGAGAAATCCACTGAAAACCTGTTAGCAGTTCCTTTGTAAGTTATTTTTTTCTGCCTTGATGCCCTTAATATTTTTTCTTTGTCATTGACTTTTGCTCCTTTTACTAGTGGATGCCTTGGAGAAGGTCTTTTTACATTGATGTAGTTAGGAATTATATTAGCTTCTTTTACTTGTAATTCCAGCTCCTTCCCCAGGTTCAGGAAGTTCTCAGCTATTATTTCTTTGAACAGGCTTTCTGCTCCTTTGTCCCTCTCTTGTCCTACTGGAATACATATAATCCTTATGTCACATTTCCTAATTGAGCTGGATGTTTCTCAGAGAATTTCTTCATTTCTTTTTAGTCTTAGTTCTCTCTCCTCCTCTATCTGAAGCATTTCTGTATTTCTGTCCTCCAACTAATTCTGCTAATTCTGTCCTCCTTAATGTCAGCTCTGTTATTGAAGGACTCCATATTTTTCTCTCTTCTTTTGAGGAAGATTAGCCCTGAGCTACTATCTGCCACCAATCCTCCTCTTTTTTGCTGAGGAAGACTGGCCCTGAGCTAACATCTATGCCCGTCTTCCTCTCCTTTTTATATGTGAGATGCCTACCAGAGCATGGCTTGACAAGTGGTGCATAGGTCTGCACCTGGGATCCAAACTGGTGAACCCTGGGCTGCCAAAGTGGAATGTGCGAACTTAACCCCTGTTCTACCAGGCTAGTCCCTCTAGATTTTTCTGTATTTCATTCATTGTGTTTTTCATCTCCAGCATTTCTGATAAGGTTTGCTTTATAGTTTCAATCTCTTGTGAAGAATTCTCTCTGTTCATTAATTTTATTTCTGATTTTATTGAGCTGTCTTTCTGAATTTTCTTGTAACTCATTATTTTTTATGATAGCTATTTTGAATTCTCTGTCACTTAGATTATATATTTCTGTGACTTCAGAATTGATTTCTGGGCACTTGTCATTTTCCTTCTGGTCTGGAGTGTTAATATATTTCTTCATACTATTTGATGGGTGGATTTGTGACTTCGCGTGGTGATGGTATCTGGTCACAGATTCCGCCTGCTGCCAGTGGATTACAGGGTCAGGAGCCGTGTATTCTGAGCCCTCCATGATCACTGGCATCTGTGCCTGTCCTTTGGAATCTATGCTGACGGGGCCTATCTGTGACTGCCTGCTTGCTGCTGCTGCTTTACAAATGCATGCATGTGTGCTCTGGTGGAGGGCCCTTGCTCTGGCTGACTGGCTGAGTTGGTGTGCCAGGCATGTAGGTTGCTTTCCTTTGTGTGCAACCCCAGGAATGTTCTTGCTCTGCTCTTGCTATCTGCCCTCCTGGGGTGCTGGCTTGATGAAGATACTCCCACAATTGCTTAACTTCCTCTGCGTGGAACTTTCCTGCAGCTGGGAGGCAATTCGGAGAGTGAGAGCTGCCCCTTCCCCCTCTCCTCTCAGGGCCGCACAGTCCTGTGCCCTAGGTTGCTGCTGGGAAGGGAGAGGAGATCCCCTTACCTCCTTCCACTTCTTCCCAGGGGTTCCAGCACCTCCACCTTCAGACATATGGCTGCGTGGGTCTCTCAGACATCTGTTGTGTTGTGTGAATGTCCTCTGTTGGTTTATAAATGTCCTGTTCGTTGTATCTTAGTAGGGAGAGCTTAATGGAAGAGCTCACACCGCCATGATGCTGCCGTCACTCCTCTCTGTACATGTTTTTTTTTAATCATTGGGTTTTCAGTTCTGTATTCATTTGCTGGGACTGCCATAAGAAAATATCAAGGTATCAGCCCAGTTTGGTTCCTTGTCAGGGCTCTCTTCCTAGCTTGCAGACTGCCATCTTCTTCAGTGTCCTCACATGGTGGGGATGGGGAGGAAGGAAGATCTTTCTCTCTTCTTCTTATAAGGCCACCAATCTTATTAAATTAGAGCCCCACCCTGATTTACTTTATAAAAAGCTCTGTCTCCAAACACAGTCACATTGGGGGTTAGGGCTTCAACATATGCATTTTAAAGGAACATAATTCAGCCTATAGCAAATAATATATAATTTATAACTGCTTTTGTGGCTATGTGAGTAGTAAAACCAACAAGAGAAGAGGAGAGAAAGGCCACAGACTTTTGTCCCAGGTAGAAAAGGTGAGAGCAGGGACAAACATCAGGCCTTGGATCTGTCCTTGACTTAGTTATTAAGACTGATCCAAGGTTTTAGTCAGGATGTATTCTAAGAGAATAAATTAGCCTTTTTCAGTGATTGCTGCATATAGAGTTATTCTCTGTTTTTTCTATAACATAATTTGACTTTGATTTTAAAACCAATGGAAGAAGAAAATAAACCCTCTTCCTTGACTGTTAGAGAAACAAATACTTTATTTGTGCTTGAAGTATCCCAGAAGGAATTTTATAATTTATTGCTCATATGAATGAAAGAAGGTCAGTTTGAGCCTGCAGTATCACAGCACTGTCTACAGCCTGTTTGGTGCTCAGTAGCCCATGTACATACTTTTAAAAACAACTGCTGTTAAAAAAAAATGATCAAGGAAGCACCTTCTGTTACAAATTTTGCAATCTGCCACATTTGCTTTCTTCTTAGATTTGAAGCAAATTAATTATCACACTTTACTGACCTTAGGGATTATCTCAGTATTTTGTTGTGTTTTCTTGACCCAGAATACCATCTTCGAGGACTGTCCATGAGGGCCTGAAGAATCAGGAGCTGAACTCCACAGACTCAGGTAAAAGTGCATGCAGTCTTATGGAAAAGAGGACCTTTAGTTTCATTTAATGGAGTAGATCTAAAAATAACTTAAACAATGCATTTGGTTTGTAGGATGTACCTTCATAAAGGGGTCTCTCAATTGAGATTTTAAAGAGCTGTAATTGTGTAAGATGTATTTAGTTTAATAATCATGTCTAGGTTAATATTATAGTTATTTTTTTACTAAGCACTTGTTGGGTGCCAAAGGTTCTGGAGGTCAATAGTATCATCCCTGAGTTAAGATGAAGAACTGGAGGCTTTCCAACCAGCCTTCTTTCTTAAGCTGGTTGACAGGTGGATGTTTATTGTTCTTTAAACCCTTTTTATGAAATACATACTTTATATATACATTTCACAATTAAAAAAATAAAGCACTGGGAAAACAGATTGTCCCAGAGGTAATGCCTGATAAATGAGACAAGGATCCAAGCTTTTTGTGTAGGAGTCTCTTCCTGGAACTACTGTTGACTCCCCCTTTGCTGGTTGTAGAATGGTTAGCATCTTGGCTGTGTGTATATTCTAGCACAGATTAAACATTTGGATTGTATTTAGTAAATGCCTAGAAAAGAAAAGAAACCAGAGGTCACACAGCTTATCAGTAGAAGGGTCAGAAATGGAACTCAAATCTTTCTCAAGGGGCTGACCCCATGGCCAAGAAGTTAAGTTCACATGCTCTACTTTGGTGGCCCGGGGTTTCACTGGTTCAGATCCTGGGCGTGGACGTAGCACCACTCATCAAGCCACCCTGAGGCAGCGTCCCACATAGCAGAACTAGAAGAACCTACAACTAGAATATACAACTGTGTACTGGGAGGGCTTTGGGGAGAAGAAATAAAAGTGGCAACAGATATTAGGTCAGGGCCAATCTTTTAAAAAAAAATCTCAAGTTCAGAACGTGTACTTTGTCTTTTCTACTCACTGCCTGTTCATTATATCACTTAGATATAGAGGATGAGGGCTGTGTAACTAATTTTTCTAAAATAATTCCCTTTACTATACTAACAAGTTTACTATACTTATTTTTTATTTCGTTAAAGCCCTTTATAGAACTTTTCCCTGTGTTTTTGTGAAAACAAAGTGACACCATTGTTTTATTGATGATATTAAGGGGAAGATATTTAAACTTTCTCTATTAAATAGGTGACTGGAATATAACCGCTAAAGACGTTCCTTTCTATTTCTGGTTTTCTAAGAACCTTGGACATATACGCATGTTCACATTTACAAAATAATTTTTCTTCAGCATTGGGTGATCATATGATTTTTTTCTTTAAGTTTATTAATGTGATGAATTTTGTAAATGGATTTTTCTAATGTTGAATCATCCTTGCATTCCTGGAGTAACTTTTACTTGACCATAATGTTATCTTTTGAATACCCAGCAGAATACCATTAGTAAACATCTTTTTTTTTAACTGCCTCTTTTTTTGAATTGATGTATGACATATTAATTTCAGGCATACAACATAATAATTTGATATTTGTATATGTTGCAAAATGATCACAACAAGTCTAGTTATCACCATCACCACATATGGTTACAAATTTTTTTTCTTGTGATGAGAACTTTTAAGATCCACTCTCCTAGCAACTTTCAAATATGCAATATAGTATTATTAACCATAGTCACCCTGCCGTGCATTACATCCTCAGGACTTTTTTGTCCTGAAATTTTGTACTAAAAGTTTGTACCTTTTGACTGTTCATCCATATCCCCCCACCCTCTCCCCAACCCCCTACAGCCTCTGGCAACCACCAGTCTGTTCTGTCTGTCTATGAGTTAGGGTCTTTTTTTTAGTTTTCACATATAAGTGAGATCATATGATATTTGTCTTTCTCTGTCTGACTTATTTCCATTAACATAATGACCTCAAGGTCCGTCCATGTTGTCATAAATGGCAAGTTTTTTGGGGGTTTTTGTGTGTGTGTGTGAGGAAGATTGGCCCGGAGCTAACATCTTTGCCAGTCTTCCTCTATTTTGTATGTGGGACACTGCCACAGCATGCCCTGATGAGCCCTGCACCTGGGATCAAACCCATGAACCTTGGGCCATCGAAGTGGAGAGCACAAACTTAACCACTATGCCACCAGGCCAGCCCCCTTTTAATGGCTACATAATATTCCACTGTATATACATATGCTACATCTTCTTTATCCGTTTATCCATCAATGGACACTTAGGTTGCTTCCATGTCTTTGTTGTTGTAAACAATGCTGCAGTGAACATAGGGGTGCAGATATCTTTTCAAGTTAGTGTTGTTGTTTCCTTCAGATAATACCCAGAAGTGGAATTGCTAGATCGTGGTAGCTCTCATTTTAAGTTTTTGAGGTTATGTTCCTACCAACTGTGCACAAGAGTTCTCTTTTCTCCACGTCCTCTCCAACTCTTGTTATTTCTTGTCTTTTTGATAATAGTGATGTGAAATCTCATTGTGGTTTTGATCTGATATCAAAAAGTAAAGTAAGTAAAAAAAATAAGTAACTCCTTGTTTTTGTTGTATTACCGGCTATTCTAATGCCTACTGAAACTGCAGAATTAAGGTATTAATATCTCCCACATGACCACAGCCAAGTTCTTTTTGGTTTGGGTTTTGTCATTGGTCAGGTTACCTTGGAAACAGTCTGAGAGTCTGATATTTGTATGCAGGAGTTTCATTTGGGAGTGCTTTAGGGAATAGCTCCTGGGAGAGGTAAAGGAACCAGGATTGGGCAGAGGGAAAAGTTGAGCCACAATGCAGTTGTAACAGAACTTTCTTCCAGTCCCACAGGGAGCCTTTAAGCTGGTGTAGCCACTTGGAGTCCTCCCTAATTAAGGCGTGGTGACCACACCTTTGTACTCCCTTACTGGTCAGTTATTAGAAGTGGGCTGCTGCTCACTCCCCACCTCACCAAGGGTGAGACCTTGGGCAAGGTGGCTCCCTCCTCCTGAGGGCAATTCCTGATTGAGGTAATTCCAGGATAGACTTAGAACTGAGAGCTCTAAACTGCCAACGTTCCCAGCAGCAGGGAGCATAAGTGCCTTAATCCTGAAGAGGATGATCTGGGTGGCAGAGTTCAAATGGAGAAGTGGGCACAGACATGCTGACCATTGTGCTAAGACTGCATTCTTATGAAAGAGTGGGCATTGTATACTTCAGGGTCTTATCAAGGTCCTGTCAACAGTGGGCAATGTACACACATCTCCATTCCTTAACGTTGGCTTAACAGGACAGCACCCATCAGAAGAGCTTCTCTGCTTTATCTGAAAATGAAGATGTTTTAGTGCCTTTGAATTTTTTACATTGCATAGCTTAATTGCCACCCACTATGAGGGGATTAAAAAAACACTGTATTGAAGTACGGTATTCATACAGAAAGACAGTTGAAAGGGGTCTCTGGGCCAGCTACACCCCACAGTACTTAAAGCATTTAGGGATGTGGTCACGGCGTACTTTCAGCCCTCTGAGGAACCTCAGAGATGGGGGGACTCCCACGTCATCAAAAGCTGCCAGCATGCTAATTTGGAGGTTTTAAGAGGACAAACTGTAGTTCTAGATAATATTCATCATCACTTCCTAGAAATATTCCAGAATAGATTATGGAATACTTGGTCATCAGGAATCATCATGGGTTCTTGTAGTAAATCCTTTACTTCTTTTATTGATGGAAATATAAGGCTCTGGAATAATGTCTCATTAACCCAGGAGTTAGTCTGCACTTAATTCAGGATGTTATTTGATTTCAGCAGAGTGATAAGCGCTATAATAGAGTTGTTCTAAGTATAAGATATTTCAAGGGCACTCTCAGACAACATGTTAAGCTTCAAAATATGTAATTCCTAACTTCATATAATGCTGTATATGCTTGTTTTTCCCTCCAGTAATGCAACTTTGGAAACATGGAGTGGAAAATGACTGTATTCTGAATATTTGTTTCTCTTCATTTCCCAGTTGTGATTAATGGAAAATACTGCTGTCCAAAGATATACTTCAACCACCGTTGCTTCTCAGGGCCTTATCTTAACAAAGGAAGAATTGCTGAGCTGCCTCAGTGTGTAGGACCTGGGAATTGTGTTCTGGTCCTTAGAGAGGTAAGGTTCTTGGCTAGAGCAAAAGAGTCTGGAAATTCCACAGCAGTTTCATAGACTCATTCATACAAGGATCTGCCTGCCATAGATGTGACAACTCTAGGTTTTATCAAAAGTGACTCACTTTTCTCATGTATTGGACAATGAACTGGGCGTGTGATTATTTCTGCCCCTATGGAACATTCACCTAAGCAGTTCTTCACATAGCAGGTTCACTTCTGTCAGTGTAGAAAGGTCTTCCGTCAGAGACCACATGAGAACTGTGCAAGAGTGAATGTGAGAGTAGTCTAAGACTGAGAGGCTGTGGCATTTACTGGGGACCATGATAAAGCTACATGTCTGCTGGACTTGCAGAGCTTCCCAGCCGGGGTTCCACACTGTGGATAACAGATGTGAGGACTGTTGAACCTTTCAGCCTTAGGTAGGGTTGCAAGGCAGGGTCTGGGGAGGCTGGAGCTTCCGTGTATACTGTGACTGGGAAAGGAGTTGGACGCATGTGCTAGAGTAATTTTTAATTCATGGTGCCTATTTCTTGCTGACATTACATAATATTTTGAATATTGAAGAGGGTCCAGTTACTGTCTTATTTGCAGCTTTGGTTGAGAGTCATATCTTCAGTGTTATTATTTTATTAATTAATATGATTAGAATTAATCTCCTAAATGACATCTAGGGGATAGCAAGATTCTAATGGTCTGCTTTTCTCCTTTTCAACCCAAATTTCTGCTTTAAAAATGGAGTGCAGGTCCTCACTTTACTTATCAATGCAGCCTATAAACCCAGCCGTGTCCTTCGGGAGCTGCAGCTAGACAAAGACTCTGTGTGGCACGGATGTGGGGAAGTCCTAAAAGCCAAGTGAGTAGGCTCTTCTGCCCTTTTTTCTGACTCGTCTTTAGCAGGTCACAGAATCATTTCTTCCATGGATGATATTAGAATACTTGTGTTCCCTTGGGCAGTTCTTTGTCAACTATTTGTGGTGAAGAACCAGGTTTGTTTTCTTCTTTAAGTTTCCGTTCTGTCATGGACCAATACTTTTATAACATATGGTAAAAATTTTTGATTTAAGAGCCATAAAATTACTTTTTCAAATTACTGTGAAAGTTTATATACATTTATCCTTGTTTTCGGACCTGAGCTTGTCATGGATGGGTAACAGTTGCCCGGTATACTGGTCCGTGGACCACACTCTGAGGATCACTGCCCTAGGGTAAGGAAAGACTTAATGAAAGTCATGTTTCTTTTAGTAGCCACTGTTGAAATTACTATTTGAAAACTTTAAACTTAGGAACAGAAAATAGGAACCTTATTTTGCTAATGTAAAAACTTAGTTTTTTGTTGTCATAGCTTACTAGATTAATTTAAGTACAGTATGCATTAACTCCTTATTGTTTTCACAGTCCCCAAACTATAAAGAACATAGAATATTCTAAGAAGCAAAAATATTTTTCAGATCTGTTAATATACATGATTTTTCTCTGAGTAATTACTGGCCCAGTAAACTTGGTATCTGATATCTTCCAATGGCAGGTACAAAGGGAAGAGTTACCGGGCTACTGTTGAGATAGTGAAGACAGCAGATCGAGTGACGGAATTCTGCCGGCAAACCTGTATCAAACTGGAGTGCTGTCCTAATCTCTTTGGCCCACGGATGGTTCTGGATAAGTGTTCTGAAAACTGCTCTGTACTTACAAAGACCAAATATAGTGAGTCATGTTTTTCAAATTTGTTAACTATAGCTGCTAACCATACCTTACGTCCTGGAAAATTCTTATTTTGCAGATATTCACCTATAGCAGAGGTACACAAACTTCTTCTGTAAAGGGCCAGATAATAAATATTTTAGGCTGTGGGTCATATAATCTCTGTTGCGTATTCTTTTTTGTTTTGTTTAATTTTCATTTTTTTAAAGAACACTTTTAAAAATTTAAAAACCATTTTTAGCTTGAGGGCCATATCAAACAGGCCATGGCCAGATTTGGCCCACAGGCCCTAGTTTGCCAACTGTCATAAATAGCATGTATATAAATTAGCTATTGCATCTAATAGGATTTGTATTTCATTCTGCAAGTATTTATTATGTGTACACTATGTGCTGCCACTATTCTAGCACTGGGATACGATAGTACAGAAAAAAAATTCCTGTCCTTATTGAGTTTACATTTTAATGTGGGAGACGCATAATAAAGAAGTGAACAAATACATAGAAATCCTATGGAGAAAAATGAAGCAAGATAAACAAGCAAATTAAGAAAGCGAATAAGCCTGGGAGGTGGAGGTGGGTGGGGTGCTGTTTACACAGGTGGTGGGGGAAGTCTTCCTGACAGGTAACAACTGTGAAGGAAGCAAGAGAGTCAGCTGTGCACACATCTGGGCGAGAGCGTGCTGGGTAGGGGGCAGCAAAAGCACCTGAGGCAGGAGCACGCTTAGTATCTGTGAGGAGCTGCAAGGAAGCCAGTGTGGTTATGAAGGATGGATTGTAGAAGAGGGGACAGTTGCAGACCTCACTCTGAACCACCATGCCAGCACCTGTTCCACTCATTGCTTATCTTCTTCTTTGTAAAGCTGCAAAAAAAGGGGGAAAAAGTCATACAGATTGAAATTTCCAATTTGGAGCCTTGTCAAGGCATTGTTACCCAAAGACAAATTATGATCCTACCATTCTTTAAATCCTGCAAGCCCTGATGTCACTTGGCAGAATTAATACAGAGGAGGATTTTACCTTGTTAAATCTGAAGATTTCTTTTAGAGGTGTCTAATTCTGCATCTCTTAAACTTTGTCAAACATGCGAATCACCTGAGGATCTTGTTAAACTGGAGGTTTTGATTTATTAAGTCTATAGGTATCTGGGGCTAAGTGTCTGCATTTCTAGCAAGCTCTCAGATGCAGCTGATGCTGCTGATCCAAGGTCCACATTTAGCATGATGAGCTTTATAATCAGTATTTGAATCATAAAATCATATAAAGTCTTACCTTCTTGTTTCTATTTATACTTACTGGATTGTAAACTCCTTGAGGGCAGGGATTGCCTTAGCTTATTATTGTGTCAAATTTAGCCCTTAGTTTAGCAAATTGCAATTATTAGTAGCTAAGTGAAATATACTATTCACGTAAGTACATATATAAGTATACCACTTTGAGACTTTGGAAGATATAAGGATTTTATTATGGTTTTTGTCTGAATTTATTTTTCACAATGATATAGTTGACATTAGCCTAAATTTTAGGAGAGAGTCTATAATTTTTCCCAGTTAGTAATTTGAGTGATGTCAAATGGACTTATATCCTTTAGAATTCATTTTTTGCAAGAAATTACATTATATTTTTATATTACTTTAATATGTAACTCAGAGCTAGAATAATGTATGTGTAATTTTTGGAATTGTCTCCATATTCTAAAATGTGTATGAAAATGCAGAAGATCTAGAATAGCCAAAACAATCCTGAAAAAGAAGAATAAAGTTGGAGGATTTGCTGTGTCTGACTTCAAGTTTTACCTTAAAGCTATAGTAATCAAAAGTGGGGTATTGATGAAGGAATAGTCAAATAGAGTGATGGGACAGAATAGAGGGTCCAGAAATAGACCCAAACTTATATGGTTAAATGATTTTCAACAAATATGACAAGGAATTTTAATGAGGAAATGAATTCTTTCAACAAATGGCACTGGTACAGTTGGATATCCAAATCAAAAAAACAAAAACAAAACTTCTTGGCTCCTAAATAACTATATGTGAAAATTAATTCAAGATATCAGAGACCTAAAGTAAAAGCTAAAACTGTAAAGCTTATAGAAGAAAACAAGGAAGATATCCTCCAGATCTTGGGATAGGCAAAGGTTTCTTAGAGAGGGCGCAGAATACACTAACATAAAGGAAAAAACTAATAAATTAAACATCAGGAAAATTAAAAACTTCTGTTCTTTTAATAATACTGTTTATAAGGAGGAAAAGAGAAGCCACAGTCTTGGAGAAAATATTCTTAGTACATATATCTAACAAAGAACTTCTCTCCAGGGTATATTAAAATATTTTCCAGATATTTTGTGTGATAGTTGCACAAATACTGAATATACTAAAAACCACTGAATATGTATACTTTAAAATGATGAATTTTATGTTATGTGAATTATATCTCAATAAAAAGTTAAAGAAACAGGAGAAAGCCATTTTAAAAAATGAATAAACAACTCGAGTAGACAGTTCACAAAAAAAGAAATGCAGATGGCCAATAAGCACATGAAAACATGCTCAGTATCATTAGTTGTCAGGGAAGTGCAAGTTTGAACTACAATGAGAAATTACTTCAGATCCACTAGATTGGCTAACATAAAAAAGACTTGATAATCCCAAATGTTGGCAAAGATGTAGAGTAACTAGATCTCTTGTGCATTGCTGGTGGGGTGTAAGTTTATACAACCCTTTTGGAAAACTGTCAGTTTCTTTAAAAGTTAATCATACATCTACCATATGATCTAGCAATTCCATTCCTAGGTAGTTATCCAAGGAAAATGAAAACATGCCCACTAATGGCCTTGTACAGGAATGTTCTTTGCAACTTAATTAATAATAGCCAAAACCTGGAAACAGGCCAGATGCCCATCAACAGAAAAATAGATAAACTGGTATGTTCATACAATGGAATGCTGTTCATCAATATAAAGGAATGGACTACTCATACACACAAAAGCATAGATGAAACTCAAAACATACTGGGTGAAAGAAGCCTTCACAAAAAAGTCCCTGCTGAATGGTTGTATAGATGAGGTAGAACTAACCTATAGTGATGTAAATCAGAATAGTGGTTGCTTATGGTGAGGGAGACTGACTAGGCAGGGACCCTGGGAACTTTCTGGGTTGGTGGAGATGTTCCATATCTTGTTAGGGGGAGGATTATTCAGGTTTATGCCTTTGTCAATACTAAGCAAACTGTACATTTAAGATCTGTACAGTTAAGATTATTCCGCTGTATGGAATTTAAACTTTAATCAAATACAGTGTACCTGTTTTCTGCTGTTAGTGGAATCTCTTGTGGTTTGAAGTGCACAAAAATAATGAAGCTACTTCACTTTTCTTTGTCATTCACATTTAGCACACTATTATGGAAAGAAGAAAAATAAAAGAATTGGGAGGCCACCTGGTGGGCATAGTAACTTAGCATGTGCCCTGAAAAAAGCCAGTAAGAGGAGAAAGAGGCGGAAAAATGTTTTTGTTCATAAGAAGAAACGCTCCTCTGCATCTGTTGATAATACCCCAGCGGGCTCTCCCCAGGTACGAGATCTGTGATGTACCTGTAATGTCTAGAAGCCAAGAGATCACTGCTTTACAATATAGACATAGAAGGAATACTTCTAGGTCTTTCTAATTCAGATCTCTGGCCAATAGAAGACGGTTTTGTGGCCCAGGAACTGATTTGTCCTGAATTTCAGTGAGACTTCTCTCCTTTTCCTCCAGGGAAGTGGGGGTGAAGATGAAGATGACCCAGATGAAGGAGATGATGATTCCCTAAGCGAGGGCAGTACATCTGAGCAGCAGGACGAGCTACAGGAAGAGTCAGAAATGTCGGAAAAAAAGTCCTGCTCTTCCTCTCCCACCCAAAGTGAGATATCCACATCACTCCCTCCAGAAAGACAAAGGAGAAAAAGAGAGCTTCGCACTTTTTCATTTTCTGATGATGAGAATAAACCTCCTTCGCCAAAGGTACCCATTTTAAAAATGCAGTGTTTTTTTTTCTCTCTCTCTAGAATCTTAATTGTTAATGGTGTTGGCATTCCACTTATTTCAATACAGGCTTCAGTTGAATTTCCTGATCTCTTTTTATTTTATTTTTTGCTGAGGAAGATTCTCCCTGAGCTAACATCTGTTGCCAATCTTCATCTTTTTCTGTGTGAGCCACTGCCACAGCATGGCCACTGACAGATGAGTGGTATAGGTCCACATCCAAGAACCGAACCCGGGCTGCTGAAGCGGAGCATGCTGAACTTAACCACTAGGCCACCAGGGCTGGCCCCCTGGGTCTCTTTTTAAATGATTTCAAATTCAGTGATTTACTTGCGTTTCAAGGGTTATTTGGAGATGAACTACTTATCAGGAGGAAGGTCTTAAAGTGGCTTCTTGTTTTAAGTAAAAGAATGTTTCATTGCTAGTTTATGTGTAGGCTGTCATTTAGTTTAAGGAAAACTGCCTTAATATTTTTCATAATACATATCGTTTTATAGAAATAAATTATTTATCCTTTTGATTCTGGTTAAGCCATTTTGTTTAGTATATTTAATATATACGTATATGCATATTATAAAACATACACACACACTACAAGAATGGCAGTTAAGTTAGTGTTTTAACACATGGATAAGGAGAACAGATTAGTGGTTACCAGAGGGGAAGGGGGTCAAGGGGAGGGTGAAAGGGTAAAGGGGCACATGAGTCTGGTGACAGATAAAAACTAGACTGTTGGTGGTGAGCACGGTGCAGTCTATACAGAAACTGATAGACGTCCACCTGAAATTACACAATGTTATAAGCCAATATGACCTCAATAAAATAACTTAAAAAAAGTTAGTGTTTTAAAACTGGATTGCTTTTTAAATATATTCTGAATATATTCAGAATATGTTTAATATTCAGAAGCAATAAATGATTTCTCCTTATAATTTAGTTAAGCCTTCTTTCATTGGAAATACCATCCCATTCACTTCAGTGCCCTACCAGAGAGTAAGTTGAAATAGACCAAAAGGAACAAAGGGGAGATTTAAAAAGTGTTTCTCTGTTTAATTGTCCAAGTTACTTGTGCTGACTTTGAGATAAGTTCTTTCCCATTGATACTTCTTATTATAAATAAGATGGCATCTTTGCTGGGAGAAATCATATTTACATATGATTTCCTCATATTTCTCATTTAAAAACCACTTTAAATCCTGCCTTAAGGGGTTATGAATTTATATAGAGAGACTTTTTTTTATAATAAAATACCTCTTATACCATTTGGTTTGATTTTGTTGTGGGGAATAAAGGCAGTAAAGATGGAAGTTGCTGAAAGGCTTCACCTGGACAGTAACCCCCTGAAGTGGAGTGTGGCAGACGTTGTACGGTTCATCAGATCCACCGACTGTGCTCCATTAGCAAGAATATTCCTAGACCAGGTAATAACAGACTTCTAATTTTTATTAATACGTTTCTTTAGCAAAGGACTATGGATGTAATAGCAATTTATTTACAAGACTTAGGAAAAATATTTCTATGCAGAAGAAAAAATTATTTTAATTCCCTTTTTAGGAGTAGGATAATAGTTACTTATCTGACTTCCTCTATAGTTGAAGTAGATTATCATTGCACTTCCATTTTTCTTAAGAATTTGATTCTATCTCCCAAATATTTAAATAGCTTAAAATAAAGCATGCTATGTGTAATTGTCCTTCTCTTTTCCCAAATAACGATTTGCTTGTTTTAAAAAAATAATTAACATCTATAGTGTATTAGGTTCTAAAGTGGTGATTAATTTTAAGGCAAGTTGTCTAAAACAGAAATATCTACAGCCTTAAATATTGAAATAAATTTTGTTTCAATAATTGGGGAGATTCGTAACTAAACATCTTTGAAGGGCTTATCAGGCTTTAATGAATGTTACAGAGCAGCAAAACACATTTTCTTTCAGATTTAGAAAGAGTCCTCTAAAAAGATGTTTCTTTTGGCACATTTTGTTGCCACTTACAAGGCTAGTTAGTTTACTGAATTTCTGCAGAGCAGAAACTGTAGAATGGATTCGTATCCTTCATAAAACTTTATTATTAATTCTGAAGATTAATTAGTCTGGAGGACTATGAGAGGCAATTAAAAGGAAATATGTGGTACTTGTTTAAAGGGAAAAAGTAATGAAAAGAAAGCACAGGGACTATGCTTTTGACAAAGCCAAAGAGAATGGCGGCTGTCATGATCAAGCTGCCATTCATGTGCACATCATAGTTAATTTGTATTTTATACTTTAACAGGAAATTGATGGTCAGGCCCTGTTGCTCCTTACCCTTCCCACCGTTCAAGAGTGCATGGACTTAAAATTGGGCCCTGCCATCAAACTTTGTCATCACATAGAGAGGATCAAGTTTGCTTTTTATGAGCAGTTTGCCAACTGAGAAGGACAACCAAAGTGAGCTGTATCTTTGAAGCACAAATGCAGCAAATCCTTTGCCGTGCTCTACAAACAGAGCTGAAATAGTCCTGGGGCCCTGGGCACTGCAGGTGTCGGCTTGCTCTCTTTGCACTTTCAGGGAAGGAGGACCCACACTAAGGAAGCAAAAACTGCACAGAAGTGGCTCTCCTGCCAGTGGAAATGTGGGCATCTCTTGTTCAGCAAATTGCAGTTAAAAAAAAATTGTGAAGAAAAGATTCATATAAGAAGAATAAGCGTTTCCAGTGGTGTGGCCTGAAAATGAAGAAGAATCTAGGTTGCTGGCAAGCATCCTTTTGGTTGTTTTCTTTTGTTCTGTTCCTTCCCATTGTAGATTGAACTTTGTTCTCTGCTTCCTCTTTCTTGGAAAGAGAGGACATAGCTTTAAGTCAGCACTGATTTGGGACTATGCCTAAGGCACATCAGTGCTTCATTGTCATTGTGTTTTTAAGATTTTTTAAATTAAAACAGTTCATTTTGGGGATGATTATGTGGCTCTAGGGTTTTGAATGTACAGTCACACTTTGATCCATTTTAAAATCTATTCTTAGGAGTTCCTTTGTTTACTACCTCTGTTGATAATTGAGCTTACAGCCATGTATGAGGGTTTTTGTATGATGCCATTTTTAAGCTACATGAACACTAAAACTATGACAGAAGTTGGAGGAAAAAAACACTGTTTGCTTTCTTAAAAACATTATGTGAGCACTGACACCAGTTCCTTAACTGACCTGATCTAAAAACTCTATTGTCATTGTTTTCCATCTTGACCCAGCTTGGACTCTCTGTTTTAAGTAGTTTCTCAAAGATTCTTGGTATTTCAGTTTAATTGCTCTCTCCCCATTAGTTTTCAAAGCGACTTCAGTGGCTTTTATTTTGTGTTTACCTTCTTTACAGTTGTTTGTCTGTTTCATTTTGGGAGTCCTCACTTTGGGTTAAAATCTGTAGGTGTTCCTTGGACCCACAGTAAAGCCCATTTCCCCTTTTTCTCGGTGTTCTCCAGGCAGATAGTGTAGAAGCACGACAGAGAAAATGTGTTTGGGGGGTGGTGCAGAGCATGGAGTTTCTGTAACAGTGTGCTCTCAGTAGCAGATAAAGATTGAGAGGTGGTTAAAGATTTTGGAAACCTCTTTGCATAGTCACATTTACACTTCTCTTTGGTTAAACCTTTAAATTGAATGTAATCTACGGTCTGAGGATTCCCACCAATAACTCAGTTTTCCTTTAGGTGTTTCTTTAGACCCAGCTCAAGCTGATATGAAACTACAGGTGATTTTCATTGATGATTGCACTGGTGGCTATTATAGAATAGTAGCATTTGCTGTACTGTTCCAGCCAGGAGGAATGACAAAAGACACATACATAGATAGCTTCTTTTAAATGGTTTGCTTTGCTGAGTGTTTTTGTTTTTTGTTTTTTTTAATTATCCTAGCCACCTGCAAATTTATAACCTAATCATTCTTCTTCAAGATTTGAAAATGTTTTAAGACTACAAGCTGGGCAAATTCTAAACAACTATACAAATATAAGGTAATATTACAAATTTAAATTGATTGTGATTTTTTTCCTTTTTTCCCCCCACCCCCAATTGTTTTTATGGACATTGGCAAAGATTGTATAGTCCGGGTCCTCTCTTCATTGGATATATATGAACCACCTTAACTCAAGCCCTCAACCAAACCATACATTAAGCATCAACTCTTTGCTTAGGTTAGTATCAGACAGACCTGGAAAGAAGCTTAATTTAAGTAAAAGTTAATATGTTTGAACTTACTCAGAGATCCAGTTTTTAAAAATTTGACTCTCTGCTCATAGAAGAGAAGCATATATAAGATGCTTGAGAACAATTAGTGTTAAGTAGATAGACTTTTGGGGGGGTTTTCTTGCATGATAAAATTTCCTGAGAGCTCAGCTGTCAAGGCACTAAGCCAAAGAGGGTTCCTTGAAGAAGACCAGTGGAACAAAAAAGTCTAGAATTAATTAACATTGTTGTCTTACTTAGGAAAATGAGTTTTATTTACTATAAGAGGGAATTTGCCAAATGCAACAATGAATATGTTATATTGTTTCTCTTTTTGACTTCTTCAGAAACCATAGAATTTAGAACACCTCCCTTTACAGTTGAAGGGGGCAAAGCCCCTGGAAGGTGAAACACGTGGCCCCTGAGTAGTCTGATCTGGGTATAGGTAGAGCCCAACTGGCTCGTCTGTCCATACCATGATTATTCCAGCTCAGCTTTCTCCTAAAAAGAAGCTGACTCTAAATAAACAAGTAAGTTGGGTTTCCCTTAATATTTCTTGGATTTTCCCACAACTAGAAGGACGTGCAACTAAGATATACAACTGTGTACAGAGGGGGTTTGGGGAGATAAAGGAGAAAAAAAAAATTTCTTGGATTCTCATCCTGAGATACAGTTTATCAGGCAACTGCATTAAAGAAGACTTATATACCCCAACCCCATTCCCAGATATTACATGAGAGAGAATAATTAGCAATTTGGCACAGGGCATTTTTTTTAAGTATAAAATTTAGATTTCGTTTGCCTCATAAAGCTACTGGGGCTAGGCAGGACAGCAGTGACAGTCTGATTCTGAAGCATATTTTAAGCTTGACAGTAGCTCACTAGTGGTGTTGGGGTGAAAAGTTTGTATGTCATACATGGGTAGATTAACTTTGTTTTTTAAAGGTACCAACCTCTTAAATTTACGAGAAGTGCATTGTGAGGGACTGCATTTGTCTGAATTTTACTTTCAGCTGACCCCACAGCCTGCCTGAGGTGAGAAAGTTTTCCGTGAACCATTTTTGATCCTGAATTGACAAGCTTGGAAACAGGTGAATGGACTAGACCATTCTCCTGAACCTTGAAGTGACTGACCATATTAGCCTGTTACTGCTCTGTTGGAGTGTTAGGGAAACCTTTTACTGCACATGAAGATTTACTGTGAAATTCTGACTATATTTTGTGGGCTTCTGGGAACTATGCTATTTTCCTTCGTAAAGTTCCTTCCTCCTTCTCAGTTGAAGCAGCATTGCAGTGGCTAATGCAAGGAATGCATTAAGGGGGGCTTTTACCCATCTGCTTTTCTTTAGCAATGTGGGTGGCTTCCAGCATCTATATTATAGATAGATGAGGTCAGGCAAGGGTACTTACCAACCTCTTGAAGAGATGGGCTTTTTGGTAAATATTTATTGAATTGTGATAGAGGCAGACATAGAAAACCAGTTCACAAGTTGGCCTCTGTATGCCTCTTTTGAAAGTAAAATTATTCTCACTGTGAGAGAGAGGGCATTGGACCAAAGCTTCCTGAGGACTTGAATACATGTTACTCACTCTTTTATACCAATTCAGTCACTAATGTGGTAACTGAATACAAATTAAAAGCTTTAGGAGACTTTAGGTAGGGTAGGACTCAGAACCATTCCCCTCTCTCAAGCCAAAAAGCATTTCTGTGGGGCACACAGAACATTAGGGAATTGTTAACAGTAGATAAGATTTATCTAGATGGAGACATTAGGAAAACTGTCACAGGTATTTATTTACTTGGCACCTATCACCAAAGACTGTTATATATAAAACACCATTTACTGGTCTGATTGATGCCCACAGAAGCTCTGAGAGAGTTGTTAGGAGCTTAGTTTTGACAGTTTAAACACACACTGGGTTTGAACTCTGGTCCTGTATATTGGGGATGTTGTATGTGTGGGTGTGTGAGTGTGTGTGTAAGTAAGTTCAAACGTGTTCTGTGTTATCAGTTGGCCTTATGAAAATGAAGGAGAAGACATCACTAACAAATGAAGTATAAATCTTGGTGGGAACCAGGTACCCCCTTTTAAAATTTGATTGTCTGTGGTCCTGGGTCCACTATAAGTAACCATGTCATGGTCATAGTGCTGGCTCAGAAACTCTGTAGGACAGAGCTTCCTGCAAAACCAAAAAGAAATCAATCACTTTCATGCAATTATAATCCTTCCTTGAATTTATTTACGATGTTTGCTAGTGAATTTTAATGATTCCCACCTGTTATGTGAGAATGTGCATACTTTGGAAATTTGAATTTATCCAAATAAGCCACCTATGGACTTGAAGTTTTGGCAGAAGAGTTCCAAACTCAAAGCCCAGTCCAAATGGATCTGGTTCCAAGCCTGCTCTCTTGGGGTTTCCTCTGTATTTGTTCCAGACCACACTGGTAGCTTGTTTCTGAGGGCAGCCTTAGGGGTAAATGTATAGAAGGTGATGGGTGGTAAAGGCACTGGAGATTGATTTTCTTGGTTCTGGTGTTTCAGTTAAGTCTAAGAGTCTCACAAGCATCAGCAAAACCAGGAGTGGGGGTTGGGGGAATGGAGAAATAGGCCTAAAACTCCCTCCTCTTATATCTTTTCTGACAACACATTTTTTGGGTTTGTCTTGGTGCTGTGGGCTATCACAAAGGACTGTTTTAAAAGGGAAATAAGCCACAGCCTTGCCAGACAAGTCTTCAACACTAGCAGTAGAGTGTGGACCCTAAGCCATGGAAGGCAAGGGTTTACAACTACTTCTGGAGGCAAAGGATGATATGACTAGTGAAATGATGCTGATGGAGGGAGCTTGTCAGGATGTACGGAAACTCAGTCCTAAGGGTTTCTACTTGGTTTAGTCAATCTAACTACATGCCTAGTTTGGCAGAATGGAGGTGGGTAAATAGTGTTGAAAGGATGAGGGTAGGCTTTGGGGCAAATCAAGTCCAAAGCAGATGATTGATGGTGGTTACAAAGTTTAGACAAAGTTAAAACTGGGCAGTTCCTTAACTCTTTTTGCAAGAAGTCTCTAGGGAAGTGCAGTTTGAATGGTTCTCTTGAGATTTTAAAGTGCTCATTTCTTTTCCTCTTCCTTTCTTCCTTTTTTTGGTTAAATAGTCTCTAAAGACAATCAGAGGCCTGCGAGGGTAGGATTTCTGGCTGGTTCCAGCACTGTCCTTAGGCCTCTTTCTAATACTAACTCGTTGAAACTGATGCACTTTGTTTAATGTATGTTATCTTTTTTTTTAAGCTGCTTGTTTGGAACAAAATGAAATGCATATTGCATTGTATCCTTCCTGCTTGCTGTTTTTCTCTTAATTTTAAAAGTTATGCATTGAGGATAAAGTATACTTAAGGAGAAATATGCACAAGCATACCTATTAAAATAACCCCCATCAAGTTTGATGGTATAACTTCAAGGGATTAAAAAATAACTATTTTGGATGAGTATTTTGCGTGTTTTTTTTTTTTTTTTTTGTAAATAAGAGTGTATATAAACTTGTGGTATATTGTGGCAGTTTTAAGTGGTTGTGAGGAAATTAAAACAGGTTTTAAACTACGTTTAACTTCATTTGACAGCAAAGAAGGCATCTTGGCTAGAGTAAATCCTTCAAAACCCTTTCCACTGGAACCCCAGAGAATCATCTCTCAATGGAGGAGAAAGTTCCTTCCTATTTTAATAAAATGAACATTTCCAGAATTCTCCCCCCTGTCCTGTTATCTGATCCTTTCCCCTCTGCACTTAGGTACTTTTTTATTGCAGTTCAGCAAAGGTAGAAAGAGCCAGCTAGCTTGCTCCTGGCATTGGGGATTCTGCCCCTGATCTCTGAAGACGGCTTCTTGTTCCTCTCCATTTCCCTTGGTACAGCAGCAGTGGGCCTTAAGGATTCCTCTGCATCTGGATGTGCCAGAGCAGTGCTTTGTCAGAAACTTCGTTTCCAGTTCTGTGTGCAACTTTTCTTGAGCTGTTTATGTTTTCAAGCAATTAATAGTCTCCTTATGCCCAGCCACAATCTCTTTTGCTTTAAGTACACATCCTCTTGTTTGGTTCTCTCTGATCATAGACGGTAACTGTTGAGCATCCCCAAAAGAGACCTTCTTATACTCAAAGACAGTAATGCAATTTTCCCTTACCTATTTATTTTCTTTACCTGATTTTTTTGTATATTCCCATGGTCAATACTTGTGGAGAGTTTTAAATTTTATAAATTAAAATTCAGTTTAATTTAAAAAACATTTTGTTGCATGTTCTCTGTGCCAGGCACTATGTTGGATTCAAAGGTGAATAAAAACCAGTTCCTGCCCTCAGGTGGCTTACACTCAGCTGTGAGAGAGAGATGTGTACAGCCATCTAATTTAGCAGTCTGAAAAATTCTAGTGGAGCAGCACAGACAAAGGTAATGTGGAAGCACAGTGGGGAGAAGGAAGGCAGGCAGACCTTGACATGAGTAGCAGTTCATGGAGCAGGGAAAAGGAAAGTGTTTTTCATGCAGTTAGAATGCCACATAAAGGCACAGACGTGTGGAAGTGCATTGTAAGAGAAGGGCTGGAGAAATTGGTTCTAGGAAGCCAAAAGCATTTTTGTTCTCTGGATAATCAGGTTAATTCCTGTTAACCAAGAAAGCTTTTGTAGAGCATTTAACCCTTTTATGTAATTGGAATTTCTTTTCTTTTCTTTTCTTTTTTTTTGAGGAAGATTAGCCCTGAGCTAACATCTGCTGCCAATCCCCCTCTTTTTGCTGAGGAAGACTGGCCCTGAGCTAACATCCATGCCCATCTTCCTCCACTCTATATGTGGGATGCCTACCACAGCATGGCTGGACAAGCAGTGCCATGTCCACACCGGGGATCCAAACCGGCGACCCTCAGGCCGCTGAAGCAGAAGGTGAAAACTTGACCGCTGTGCCTCCAGGCCGGCCCCTGTAATTGGAATTTCTTGGTGACTACTTTTAGGGAAAATGTCCCTAGATATGTTATTGTTCCACAAATGTAGCCCAGTGTCTCCTGGAATAATAACTTGTGTACTGGCATTAAGTGGATGCAGCGGGAAGGTTAGGGACTCTGGAGCACCAACAAGAGGTGTCTGGAGAGAAGCCAGAGGGGGCTCGGAGGGTAGATGAGAGAATGGGGACTAGAGGCCCTGGTAGAGGTAGAAAGCAGGTTCCAACGAGTCTGAAAGGGTTAGGTAGGAGTGAATGCGCATGTGTGGAGGGAGGCTGGCAAATACCAAGAATTTGGCTTTCTTTTATAAATCATTCAAAATGAGCAAGTGGAGATATGTTCACATATTTTCAATATAAACCTTGTATATTTCTAAATGAAGGCGACTGGATTGAAATGACCATTTTAAATTACGTTAAGGAGAGGGGGAAAGGTGACTGGGGCCCGATTGATGAATCCAAGATAAGCCTTAGCCCAGGATATTGGTACTAACAATGAAAGAAGAAAGACGCCAAACGTCTGGATTGAAAGAAATATGCCTGTGTGCAGAGTCTTGGATTGTTTTCCTCAACCACCTGCTTCAGAATAATCCAGGCAACTTGCTGAAAATGCAGATTACTCCGCCCCGTCTCAGAATTACTGAAGCAGAATCTGAAGGTGGAGCCCAGGAGTATTTTTAAGAAATTCTGCAGGGTACGAGGGGCTTATCTTGGAGGGAAAAATAATTTAGTCAGAGACTGTCCCCGCTCCTGCCCTCCCGACCAGGAGCGCCCGGGTTACCAGGGCTCGATCTCCTGGCCGCACGGTCTGGCTCACCTGGACTGTCTTACCTGCGGTCCGAACCCCCGACCCCGCCCCTTCGCCTGCCGCTGCCGCGCCAGCGGGAGAGCAGGCGGCCGAGGCCCGCCCACACGCCGGGCCGGGCCAATCAGACGCTGAGATCTCAGACGTCGGGTTACGCGCGGCGCCGAGGGGGCCGCCGGGCGGAGGTACCGACTCCCGGCTTGGACTCCAGGACCCCGGCTTGGCGGCGCGGCTGGCGCGGGCAGCGAGGCCGGGCGGGTGGGCGGTGGCGCCCCACACCCCTCCGCCAGGCCTGCCATGCAGGGCCCCGCCGGGAATGCGAGCCACGGACTGCCGGGCGGGCCGCCCTCCACCGTCGCGTCCGGGGCGGGCCGCTGCGAGAGCGGCGCGCTCATGCACAGTTTCGGCATCTTCCTGCAGGGGCTGCTCGGCGTCGTGGCCTTCAGCACGTTGATGCGTGAGTCCGGGACCCCCGACCCTCCCGAGGCCCCGCCAGACGAGCCGCGGGCCCAGTCTCGCCTTGGGAACCCTCCTGTCTGAAGAGTCCAGGCCTGGGGACCCGGGCGGAGGTGCCTTCTTCCCGCGAGCCAGGACTGAGCATTCCCAGGCTAGGGGAAGCCCCCACCCCCGCGCCAGCGTCCTGAGTCCCTCGCCTTCTCGCTGCAGCCTCTAGCCAGGGGTCAACCTGTTCCTCTCCTACAACCCGCACACACCTCTCTTGTGAAGTACCTGCCTAAAACTGCCCCCCCCCCCGCCACCCCCGCCACCTGGTCATCGCAAATTAAGGCTACCCCACTTTCCAGCCTGGGGCAACGACCCCCGCTGGCATACCCCTTTCCGTCCCCTCTTAGAGTCTCTTTTTAGCCTCCCCTTCGCACTTTGAACCCACATCCCTAAATCCCCAGTCTGATGCTCAGGTTTTTTCTACACCTTCACTCCTCAAAGATTTACTCTCTCCCGTTCGCATTTAAATCCCGCTACCTTGCAATACCTGGATTGTTAGGCCGTGCATTCTGGCCCCTCCACCCTACTCCACCCCGGGACCTTCTTCCTCAGCTTTATTTTCTGTTTTGGTCGAAGCAGGACCCATCCAACCTTCTTCCCACATCTCCTCTTTCCTCTCCTTTTTTCCTGAACAGGCTCACCTGTTCCCTCTGTCCTGAGCTTTCCTAAGTAAGTTCTGTCGCAAGCCTCCCCTGGCTGTTCCCTTTCCCAACCCTTTATTATTTATATTTCAAGTTTCCTTCCTTTCCGTGAGACCTGGGCAACCTAGTGGCTTAATGGAGAAGTAGGCTCAGAGAATCTGGGGAGGACTCAGAATCCCTGTGCTAAGTCACGAGGGGCCCTTCCTTGAGATTTTCATGATGGAGAGGAAAGCCCCAGATAGTCCCTCTGGAAAACTAGAAGTTCCACCCTGTTGTCATGTGTGGCATGGAAGTGGCGGGTTCTGTTGTTTTCTTAGTGTATATCCTTCTCTTTATTAAAGTAACAAGCTTGGGTTGGCTTGTAGGCCTCAGAGTGCCCCTGTGATTCTGTTTTAGAGGAAGGAAGAGTTATAACTATCTGTACAGAGACATTAATTCCGAAATGACCTGTTCTCAAAACTTCCCGACTGTGCTCCCGTGGACAGAGTGGGAAGTTCCTGCAGAACAGATGCTCCTCGGCACTTGGGAGGGATCCTGCAGCTGTGTGCGTGTCTTGTGGGGTCCAGTTGCTGGAGTGGCAGCTTTGCTTGTTTGTAACATGGGGCTTATTTGGGAGAATTTCCCAGGCTTTAGGTAACCCTGAAGAGGCTGTTCTTAGACACTACTTTCTTCTGGTTGCCTGGCCGTGATAAGTCTGGCAACAAGTGCACAACTGTAGGTTTGCCACTTTTTCTTTCCTTTTTCATCTCTACTTGCCTTGCTACTTTCCCTTCTGAACAAATGCCCTCTTGTTCCCACAGTAATAGTTTGTGACGACTCAGCCAAAATCAGCTGCTGACTTGGGTACGTGAACTGTATGTGTGTGTTTTCGAGACATTGTGCATGGGTCTTCGCTCCCCTCCCACATCTCTCTCCTCCAGCTGGCCTTCCTTTCTCGCTAAAGAAACTGCAGGCTTAATCTTTATTTTGTTCCCTCACCTAAGATTTCTCAGCCTAGCTCTGGCTGTTTTCGTGTGTTTGATTGATGCTGATGGCCCGACTTATTCCCTAGGGTTTGATAGGGTTTGTGATTCAAAGAGGGAAATATGATTATGACAGGGGAGAGTTGCTCACAGCTGAGAAGTGTGCCTGGTTGAATGTGTTCAGAGTGACGGTGCTGGCCCTGGGAGTCTTCAGGGACACACTCACTTCTTTACTTAATCTTGAGTGTGAGCACATAGGCAAACCCCACTGTGGTTGGTACCTTCTGTATGCAAAGACTGGACTAGAAAGTGGTCTCTTGCTCAGTGTAAGGCTAGATGTGGAGGGAGCTTGTGGGAAAGAGTAGCCGCTCCTGGGACAATGATGAGTAGGAATGATGGGCAGAAGAGTTCAAAAGGCTAGAGCTGTGTCTGCCCTGGACGCAGAAATGGAGATGAGAGCAAGAGCTTATTCCCCCACCTAGAAGCAGACAGCAGGCCAAGGAGAATCCCATTGACCGGGGTCCAGTCAGGGAAGTACACCTCTTGATCCCTTGTTGGTTCTGTTGGGATGGAACTATGGGGCTTTTCCATTTTGTACTGCTAGGAAGGGGAGGAAATCTCTAGGGGGCTGTGGTCCATTTTGGAATGCGTTTTGCTGGGGAAAAGGAAAGAGGTTAGAGGTAGTCTCAAGGAAGTGCTTGCGAGCTGTTTGGCTTTGTCTGGGCTTTTAGTCTTCCTAGTCACAGCATCGGTTCCTCAAGATGGCAGAGCTGCTGTCAAGAGTGCCAGGCTCCCTTGACAAGAGTGTCCACCTCACAGCCCTTGAGGGAGGTCTTGGTTTAAGATGAGGCAACTCCACGCTTCATCATTTCCATCATTATCTTCTTTAAGCCTCTTTTAAATACCAGTCACCTCTGCTAAGCAGTTTAAACTAACAATCCCTATGCTCTTTGGGGTCACAGTCTTTTCCCCTCCAGGTGCTTCTGTTCCCCTAGGCACTGGCCTCATTGCCTCTCCGACACCTCCCCAGTTCTGAGAGCACATGCTGTTCTGTTTTCCTGTTGGACCAGATCTGTTCTATAGTATGGACCCACTTCCCTGCCAGACAAGCTGTAAGGGCTTCTTCATCACATCACGTCCCCGATTTCAGTGAATTCTCAGACCACTGTCTTTATGTATTCATTTTCTATCCAGAAAAGTCACTTTTTTCCCCATTTACACGTTGCTGTGTTTTTACCAGGAGAGTTTTGTCCTGGAGGAAGACTTCTCATATATATTAATGTCTCAGGGGAGGATTTTGATACTTACAAGGATTTCTCATCTTGGCTCAATGTGTGGGGGTTTTCAGACAGTCTCCATCCAGGCAGTTGAAAATTTGTATGCCAGTGACACGTAGCCGATTCTTCAAGCTACGTAAACATGCAGACTATTACAGGCCGCCATCCACGGGCATGCCCCAGTGTCAGCATCACCTTGTTAAGTTGGTGTGCTTTCCAGAGGCTCCACCTAAGGTACCCTCTGTGTGCAAGGAAAGCTGAACAAACAGAGGCAAGCTTATAAAGGGACTTCCCACTCTGGGTTTTCTGGGATGTCACCGAAAGGCATTGGGTGTCTGAGTAGAAAGAAACACTTTAAGCAAGGGAACTTTGTTATGATCTGCCTGCCGAACAGTTCCTCTTGTTTTGGTGGCTTTATCTATAGCCTGACTTGAAGAAGTTGCTCAGACTAGAGTTAGAGCAGAACAGAGCTGAGCAGTCCTGGAGCTCAGCAAACTGTTGCAGTGCAGGTCAGTGGCCCAGCTGTCAGCCAAAGGTCACTGTTGGCCAGTGTATGTGTTGGCATTTGGGGCTGTTTACTCTCAGGATGTTCGAATGCAAAGCAAACTCAAGCCTCCTTCACCAAGCACAGTCAGAGTTCCGGGCTGAAGTGTAGATGGAATTAGTTTTTAACAAAACAAGCATTTTGAGAGGTTGGATAAATCTACCTGCCTATTTTTATGTTACAGATAAAGGGACTAGCCAGCTGGTGTCAGCGTTATACAAAAACGCTGCTGGCGTTGAGAAATGGTACCTTTTTTCCTGAGGCCCAAAGTAAACATCATAAACCAGTCCACCCTGCTTTGAAATCTTAACCTCAAATCAGAGCCCCTGGTGTTTTCTTGCATGGTTAACTGGCCTCCTTCTGTGTTCTGTACAGACACACTCGTGCTGGGACAACCTTTCCTGGGATCACCTCTCCCCACCCTATCCCAGTTTTTATCTTAAAAAGTGTCAAACATACAGAAAAGATGAAAAAATAATAGCATGAACATCTGTCTGCCCTCCACTTAGACTCAGAAACTGTTCACTTTTTAACACGATGCAATCTATACAGAAACTGAAATATAATAATGTACACCTGAAATTTACACAATAGTATAAGCCAATATGACCTCAATAAAATAATTAAAAAACAAAAAAGATGAGTTGGGAAGTATTACCTTCTCTTCCATTTTCTGGAAGAGCTTATGTGGAATTGGTTCTTTGAATGTTTTGTAGTGTTTGCTAGTGAAGTCATCTGGGCCTAGAGGGATTTGTTTGTTTTTGTGGTTTGAAGATTTTAAACTAGGAATTTAAAAAAAAAACAATCTGAGACGTTGTTCACATTTTGCCACATTAGCTTTACCTGTTTATATATGTATATTTTTTGGCCAAGCCTTTTGAAGGTAAGTTGAAGCTAGCACCACACTTTACCCCTAAAAACTTCACTTGAGTCTCCTAAGGATAAGGACAGTCGTCCCCATAACCGGTTTCATGATCACACCTAAGAAAATTTATGACTCCACAATATCATGTGATATCCATCCGTATTCACACTTCCCCAAATGTCAGAAGTCTCTTAGAGCTGGAATTTTTTAAAAACTATGATCCAGTAAGGTCCACACATTGCATTTGGTTATGTTTTTAAGTCATTTTTACTCCAGAAGAATCTTCCCCTACACACACACACCCCTTTTTTTTTTTAAAATGACATTGCCTTTTTGAAGACTCCTGGCCTGTCGTCCTATACAGTGTCCCATATTCTGGAGTTGTCTGGGTGCTTGCTTGTTGTGGTGTTTGAGCTGTTTCACTAATTGCTGTGTTTGCTGAGTTTGTTCTGGAGGAGCTGTTAGATTCAGATTACCCTTTTGACGGCAAGAACACTCCGTAAGAAGGCACGTGACATCAGGCAGTCCCACTATTAGTGACAGTAAGGTCAGTTACTTGGTGGAGGGCTGAGGTCTCTAGAGCTCTCCTTTGTAAAGGTGCATTTTCCCCTTTGCAATTGATAAATTATCTTTGTCGTGGTGATACTTTGAGATCGTGTGAATA